TCCTGTCAGTCCACACCCGCCCGCCCCGCAGAGGTGCCCTGGCGTCCCTCGTCCCTCGCCTGGGGGGCTGTTGATCAGCACACGTGGCCTGGGGTGCTTCCCAGCCAGGGGGCAGGCGCTGCCGCCCCCAGGCATGAGACGCGGTGCCCCTGCCACAGTGGTCCTTCCTCTGGGGTGGCGTGAGGGCCCGGCCCTTGACTGCCTTTGTCAGCTTCCCCCTGGCGGGACGCCTCGGGGCAGCCAGGTTAAGGTCAGCCTTGGGGCTGGCAGCACTTGGGGGACCGCTCGCTGCCCTGATGTCCACCAAATCCCCCTGCCATGCCTGGCTGGGCTCCGAGAGACTGGAACGTTCCACACAAGCCTGGGCGGCCCCTCCCGAGGCTGGCGAGTTTGCCCCGTACTGGGCCCCTCCGCCCGCGGATGCTGGAACCAGATGCGCTTGGCGTTAGGAACCGCCAGCCTGAGGCCTCCTTCCCTCGTCACCCAGGAACAGAACTAGAGAGAGGAGCCCTGGGGCCTTCACACTCAGGTTCTAGACTCGGGGTGGCTGCGCTGCCAATGGGTGAGGAGCTCAGCCTTTTGGGGTGACCCGGCGGGGTCAGGGGGTGACGTGTGGTCAGGCGCCAGAAGGTCCTGCCAGATGGAGCTGTGGAGCTGTGCGGTGGGGGGGCAGTAGGCAGCTGGGCCGAGTACTGCCTGGGGATGGGCGCCAGCAGCCTCACCGCCCCAGGCCCCAGCACGGGCCCTGACCAGGCTCCAGCACTACTGCCCCGTGGGCGTCCAGCCACGGCTGCTTTGTGTGAGTGCCCACCCCGTCCTGGAGCACGTGACCTGGACGAGGAGAAGCGTGTGGGTGATGCCCCCGACTTTGCTAAGAGTGACAGAGTCAGCCTTGTGCTCCCCGGCGCTGCGGCTCTGGAGGACACCTGGGCTGCGGCAGCCACGAGTGTCCCGACCACGAAGCAGGCAAGCGCTGGACCTGGGACAGGCAGATGGCGCCCACGTCTCTGCTCCTCCGGGACTGGTGTCCCGCCTGCCGCCTCCCAGGTGGAGAAGAGCCATGACGACTGCAGGTCCAGGGCGACACGTCCCCAGAAAGCCCCCTGCTTGGGATGAGCGGAGGGAGCAGCAGTGTCTGGGCTGACTGGCTGGCCAGCTGCCGCTCAGGCAGGAGTCTCCTCACCAGCAGGAGGGCTGCAGCCGAGGCTTAGGTGCTCCTCGCGGGCCGTCTCGCAGGCGCCAGTGTGCCCACGGCTCCCTAGAACCGCTCCGAGAGCCTCTCCTACTGCCCCGGGCTCCAGCCCAGATGGCTTGGAGCCATTAGGAGGCCATTAGGAAGCGCCTGGCCATCTCCGCCGGTGCCCTCGGGAGCCCAGAACCGGGGCAGGGTGCTGCAGGGGGTGGGGGGAGCAGCCCGGCCCTCCCACGGGTGACTCGAAGTCCTGTGTGCCGGAGAGGGAGGGGTGGCCCCAGCTTCCTAGAGCTGCGGCTGCCTCGCCGGGTGTCTGTTTGCACTTTGCTATAATTAAGTGAAGAAAGAAAAGTGCAAATAGGCGCTAAAATAGAGACGTGAGCTCCTGGGTGGCTCTGGGCCAGGCGTGTCCCCCTCTGGCCCAACCGCGCCTCCCCACCCCACAGGCTCCCTGGAAGCCAACCTCAGCGCCCACCTGCGCCCCGGGAGCCAAGGGTGCGCCTGGAGGCTCGCTCTCACTAGTGCTCAGGCTCTGGCCGGCCCCACCTGGGTAGCCGCTGGCCTTGCTGGCGGGCCTCTGGTGCCAAAGTCACGCTACTCCGGAGTAGAGGGGCCTGGAAAGCCATCCAGGTGGACCCCGCCCTGGCCGGTCACCCGCCCGCTCATGCGGTTACCAGTGCCGAGGCCCTGGGGGTGGGGGGGGGTGCACGCTCGCTGCTCAGGGCCGGCGCAGGGGCCGGAGCGCCAGGGCCGTCCTGCACAGACCTGGAGACACCGCCTCGGCCTTGCGGGCTCCTCGGGGCAGCTCGCTCTGCCGTCCGTGGGTCTGGCCAGCAGGGGAGGACGGGTGGCAGACCACCCTTCGCACAAGCCCTCCCCACGCACCCCGTGCCCACCCCGCACTCGCCTGGAACCTTCCCGGGGAGCTGCCTCCCAGCCCTTCCCGCGGGTCCCGGCCTGAGCTGGTTGCCCCCAGGAGGGCAGGTGAGGCTCGGCCCTGCAGGTGTCCTCTCCTGTGCAGGCCCCGGGGTGGTGGGAGCCCCCTGGGAGCCTGCCCTCCACCAGGCTGTGGGGAACGCCCTCTGCCCTGCGGCTTGCGAGCCCAGCCTTGCGGCCATGACCGTACCCTCGGGGTGGTAGAAGCACATAGCCCGCGGCTCGCTTGTGCCCGGGGGGCCGCCACGGCGCCCACCACCCTTCGCAGCGCTGATCTGCCTTCCCCATGGCCTCGACTGTTCTGAGGCTGAGTGGGCTCCAGCGGCCCCCGCCCCTGTGTGTGGGTGGCTGGTGGGGGCAGGCACGGCAGCCCTGGGGGTGCTGGCCCCATTGACAGGAAGGGGTAGGGGGAGTCCTGGACACAGGACTGGTAGGTGGGACCCCGGGGTTCAGACCGGACCGGCCCCCTGGCCTCCAAGGGGAGCGGGGCCAGGCCCGTTTTGGAGCTGAAGAGGCTGTTCCAGAAGGGTCCCGAAGTGGCCGGCCATGTCCTGTTGCAGCTTGGGCCACTCCCAGGGCTGCCACAGCCACTGTGAGGCCAGCAGTGCAAGAGGTGCTTCCCGCTCAGCCCACCCCAGGGTGGGCCCTTAGGAAAGAGATCCCTGGCCAAACCAGGCTGGGAAACCTGACACGAAGGACAGCGGCGTATCTTCCCCGAAGGCTCCAGAACCTGGGCCAGTGTGTGTTGTCAGGGTGAGAAGCCAGTGCCCCTGCAGCTCCCAGCCCATTTAGCTGTCGCCCATCAGGATGCTTCATTGCCCTGCAGAGTTGGAGGCCAGGGAGCCCCAAGTCAGTGGTGTGAACACACCACAGTAATAGGACATAAAGCAAGGGGAAACCCTTTTGCCTTTTGGGTTGCTTTTCAAGCCTCTGGCCTTTCTTTTTTATTTTTTTAAAGATTTATTTATGTATCACTGGGGTACAGGCCAGAGGTGTGGGAATGAGAGGATTCCCCAGAGACAGTGGGGAGCAGAACAGGCAGATCCACTGAAATACACTGCTGAGGGGAGCAGCGGGGAGACAGGAGAGGTCTGCTGCGCCCTGTGGGTCACCTCCCGGGCCTGGGATCAAACTCGTGCTGCAGTGGCTGAGGATAGCTTCATAGTGCTGAGACTTAACCCCTGTGCCACCAGTGAGGCCCCTGCCTAAGAACAGCAAGAAACCCTCCCTGCTAGAGAGAGGGACGCCTCCGGAGCCCTGAGCAGAGAGGCCAGGCTTGCAGAGCCGGGAGTGGCCTCACATATGGTGCAGGCTGCTGCCTCCTCCTTTCTCCAGCTCTCCTGCTCTCAGCCAGCCCTCCCCAGGCCCTGACGCCCTATTCCCAACTCCAGGCCCCACATGCTCTGCCCACGAGGTTCCACGACGGGGAGAAGGCCCCTGCTGTCCTAGCCTGGTGCCCTTAACCTTGCGTTCTTGGCCTTTTCAGAGGCAGGGACAGATGGAGCAGGGCCAGGGCCCTGCTACTCAAAGTGGTCCCTGAGCCGCAACGTTCACTGGACACTGGACACTTCGCAACAGTTCTCCAGCCCCACTGGATCAGAATCTGCACTTTCACCCCCGGTGACTCGTGCACGTCGGCATTTGAGCCGCCTGGCCTCGCGCATCCCGCCCGGGTGTGCGGAGGCGGCAGGACGTGGCCGTGTGCTCAGCAGCGGGGGGCTGGCCTGCGATAGCTGAGCTAGAACACTGTTTTCTGGGGCTGCTTCAGGCCAGACTGCATAGGCTCAAGTTCACCGTTAAGTCAGCCAGACACGAAGCCAAGAGGGCCCCGGGGAGGTCTCCACGTGCCCCGGACTCCAAACAGGAGCCCTCCGCTGCGGGTTTGTCGTTCACACCTGTCATATTCAGGGACCGTTCACACCTGCCATTCAGGGAACCATCTCTGAGAAGGCTGAGGGGGCAGCCTTTGGTGTGACCCGACGTTACACCTGCCGGCTGATGTTCTCTCTGTGCCCGCAGACCACTCGTCTATAAAGCACTTGGGCCCAAAAATAGCCGCTCGGCCTCGGTGTCATTGAGGATGGAGGGCAACCGGCCCATTTCTTTGGCTTTTGGGCATTCTCAAAGTGTCGCCAGGAAATGCCGCCCCAGAGGAATTAGCACAGCTCACTCAGCCCGAATCCGGTGGGAACTTTGTGGCCGGACAGATGGGGCCTCAGAAAAGTCACTTCCTGGTGTGGCCACAGTGACCTCTGCCGGGGCCACGCCGCTTAGCGAAAGGGACGCTGGCCCTGCCCTGGCCGGGCGGCTGGCAAGAACCTGGAGCCGGGCCCACGTCCAGGCTTCGGCCAAGTCCCCGCTGCTCAGTGACTGCCCCCTGAGAAGAGAGGGAGGTGGCAACAGGGGTGGGGGCAGCTGTGCAGACAGGGCGCGCTGCCCACGAAACGGCCACTGCCACCATGCCACCGGGATGGAGCGGCCGCCTGAGGTCGCACAGCGCAGTGTGGCCCCGGGGTCAGGCCATTCAGCTGGCGTTCGGGCCAGAGCACCCACCGGACCGTGTCCTTCCTCGCCCCACTTGGCTTCAGGCCTCCCCTCCAGGCCCTCAGCTGTGTTTTCACTTGAGTCCCTGCCAATCCCAGGCTTGGCACTCCACCTGCCGTGGAAGGTGGGGGGCCGCGCCTCCATGCCCACCACGCAGGACCTCCTTCCTGGGCACCCCAGGGGCTCTGCCATTCAAGGCCCCCTCGTCCCTTGCAGCACTTTGGCCGAGGTTACTGCCCAGGCCCGGGAGGGGGAGTCTCTGCCCTGAGGGCGGCCCCCGCCCCCCCACGGCCACTTCTGCAGCTAACCACTTCTCTCTGGTCCGCAGCCCGAGACCGAGGACGAGAAGAAGCGTTTTGAGGAGGGCAAAGGGCGGTACCTACAGATGAAGGCGAAACGCCAGGGCCACGCCGAGCCGCAGCCCTGAGGCCCTCCCGCGCGGGGCCTGGCCAGCGCCCGCAGGGGCCCCAGCTCGTCTCCCAGATGGCCCCCCTCGGCCAAAACCCCCTTCACGTTGAGAGCTGGTGTCGTGCGAAGTACTTGTCTCACGGTGTTAACCTTCACTCCTGGAAACCTACACACCAAAGCTTTATTTATATCCGTCCAGTGTCTGCTCCACAGCGTTGTCCCCGCCGCCGCCAGAGCCTGCCCCGGAGCCCCGGGACACTCGAGCGGGCTGCACACTGGGGGGCATCCAGCACCACTAATAAAGCTGCTGTTTGGCTGGACCTCGGTTCTGCGTGGTCCTTTATCTTTGACTGGTGTGGGGGGGTGGGGCCCTGCTTCTCCCCCTGCTTGCGGGCTGGGCCGCTGCCTTCCTCCCTGGCTGCGGATCCACGCCACACTGCCCTAGGCCTGATGGCCCAGGGGTCCAGGCCCCTGGCCCTACCCAGCACCTCCCTTGCCCTGTGTGTGGCTTATGCAGGAGGCCAGTGCTGAGCCTTGGGTGAGGACTCAGGGTGTGTGGAAAGAGGCAAATTCAGCAAGTGGGAACCCCGTCCTCAAGAGAAGCAGCCCCCACACCTTGGCCTTGGGGAGTCAAGGCAGGAATTCTGCTGGAAAGACCCTTCTGGTCCCCAATCCTGAGCTAGACATGACATTCCCCCAGGCAGTGCAGCAGGGCAGGGGTGGGATGGCTTGCGGGGCGTGAGGGCGTGTGTGCACATCTGTGCCCTGTGTGCACACCTGTGTGAGCCCCTGGTCCAGCAGCTGCAAATGAAACGGCTGCCGAGGCCACTGCAGGGTCCAGGTCCCACCCCTGGCTGAGAAAGACCCCTCGCCCAGCGTGCCACTGGTACCCGAGAGTGTTTCCGGCCCAGGCTGCCCCCAAAGCCTGGATGTGGACACGGTGGTCCACAGCTGCGGCCTCGAATAGGTCCCCAGGCCCAGAGCCAGAACTGCTCCAGATGTGCAGACACTGCCCGAGCTTCAGAATCCGCCTGGGCAGCCTGTCAGGGCTATTTCCTGCCTGGGCGGGGAACCAGCTCGCCCTGGGCTGGGAGCAAGGCGGCCTGCTCCGTGGGGCAGCCTAACGTAGGTCTGTGAAGCCAGACTGGTGACACGGGTCCCAGCAGTTGCCGGAGCCTGGGACGCTTGGAGGCTTGCCGGAGAGAGCCAGGGGAATGGCCCCAGCCTCCTATACCCTGCAAGAGAGGCTGGGGACCCTCTGGTTTAGTCCTGGCTTAACCCTCATCCATGTTTGGTGAGCCAGGCACCTAAGACCCCCTCCCAGAGCAGATGGGAAGAGCCCAGGGCTGGCGAGCACGACACAGGACCCCGTGGCCAGCTAGACTCAGGGCAGGCACCAGGGCAGGCCACGGTGCGGAGCAGGCGGCTTCCACAGGCCGGGCGGTCCCTCTGCCAGCCGCCAGCGGCGTGGCCCAAGGTTCTGCACGGCTGAATTGCTTGTGTTTCCCTTGAAACACACTTGACCACCAGTCACCTGGCTAGTCTCCCGCTGCCGTGGCCTGTGTATAACCAGGTCTGTCCGCACAGGGCACCGAGCGGCACGGAGGGCCCTGAGTGTCCAGAGCAACACCAGGGGGGCCTGCCCTGGCTCCCCAGTCCCAGCCCCACGGTCTCATTGGGGAGCCTTTCTAGGCAAACACCTGTGTCTCACAGGACTGAATGACCTGAAGGTCCACCCAGGCCCCAGCACTGCTCCTGGGGGATGCGGTGGTGCCGGGGGATGCAGGAGCCAGGTCCAGGAGCGCATGGGCAGATTGGGCTGCGTTTGGCTGGGGCCTGGTGGAGATGGGTGGGGCCCCCCTTCCTCTGGACACAGGGCTGCCCTCACCGGCTTCCCCCAGGGAAGGGCCGTGCTGTGCTGGGCCGGAGTGGCTCTGAGGCCTTGTGCCCGGGTGTGTGGGGGCCCTGGCTTCCCAGAGGCAGGAAGGGCCACTGTCCTGCCTGCAAGGCCCCTCTCCCTCCCCTAGGGGTCTGCCGAGGCCCCCATCCCAGGTAGTTATCTGCCCCCCAGATGCCCCTCAGCGGGTGGGTGGCAGCCTGAGCCCTGACAGGGGTGGGGGCGGGCAGTGCTGAGGGAGGGAGGGGACAGGGTCCGGGGTGAAGGTGGCAGACCCCTGGCGAGCCCCCAAGCTTCAGGGAGAACGTCCCGAGCCCCGGCGAAGGGGCAACCACAGGTGGCCCCTTCACTTAATTCCCCAGGACACCCCGGGGCCCGGGTGAGCTTGAACCCTCCTCGGCCCGCGTCAGCCGCTCGCCCTGGAGTCGCCGCTCCTCTGGCCTGGGGTCCTCTCCACGCGCCCCCCATTGCTCGCCTCGGGTGCGGCTTCCTCGGAGGCCCCAGCCCCCGCTCCTTCCACCCCGCCCCGGGCCCCGGGGTCCGAGGGCCCCGAGCGCGGGCCTGGGTCGCCCCCGGGAGGCTCCGGGGCGCCGGGACCGCGGACGGCAGCGCGGGCGGCGGGGTCCGGCCGGGGCGCGCCCGCGGCGGCGCGGGGGGCGGGGGGCGGGGGGCGGGGGGCGGGGGCGGGGCGCGCGGGCCGAGGGGCGGCGCGCGGCACCCGCAGAGGCATGCGCCCTGCTCCGCCCCCCGCCCCCGCCCGCCCCCGCCCCGGCCGCGGGCGCAGCACCGGCGCGCGCCGAGTCCGCGGCGGGCGGGAGGGCGGCCGGGCGGGGCGGCGGGCGAGGGAGCGCCGGGCTCGGGCGCCGCCGCCAGGATGCCCCGGCCCGCGGGCCGCGCCGCCGCCAGCCACCCCGCGGCCCCCGGCGGCCCGCGCTCGGCCGGGGGGCGCGGGAGCCGCGGCCGGAGCCGCAGCCGGAGCCGGAGGCGGGAGCAGCGCGCAGGAGCCCCGGGCGCCGGACGCAGCGTGAGCGCCCCTGCCCGGGCGGGGGGCGGGGGCCGGCGGCGCCGCCGGGGGCTCGGCGCGGGGTGTCCGCGGGCTGGCGCCGGGGTCCGGCCGGGCGGCGCGCCTCCCCCAACTTGGGGACCTTCGGGGCAACTTCCTGGGGTCCGGCCCCCTCCCCGCCCCGCCTCGGGGCCCAGCGCCGCCCCGGCTGGCTTCCGCGGAACGGGGTGGGCTGGTCTGGGGGCCCCGGGCTCCCCCTGTCCCGGGGGCGGGGGCGGGGGCGCCGGGGTCCGCAGTCCCGCCGGCCTGCGGCTCCCGGGGTCGCCCCGACGCGCCCTCGGGGCTGGGCAGGGCTGCGCCGGGCGGGCGGGCGGCGGGGTGGGCGCGGGGCCGGGGCCGGGGCCGGGGCGGGGCGGGGGGCGCCGGGGCCGGGCCGGGGCCGGGGCTGGGGCGGGGGGCGCCGGGGGCGGGGTCGGCGGGCGGGGGGCGCCGGGGGCGCGGGGCTGCGCTGCGCCCCGGGCGGCGGCCGGGCCGGGCCGGGCCTGGAGCCCTGCGCGGCGGCGGCGCGGGGTGGGGCGCGGACCCGCGCGAGCCCGCTGGGCGCCGTCAGTCGAGCCCGGGGAATCCTTTCAAGTTCTGGGTTCTCTTTGTTGCGCAATCGAGCCCCGGGGCCCCGCGGCCTCATTGGCCCGCGCCCGTGACGTCACGCGCCGGCCCCGCCCGCGGACCCCGCGGGGCGAGTTTTCTGGGCCGGGGTGAGGCCCGCGGCTTCGCCTCGGGGCGCTGGGGAGGGGGCGGGGGACTGCGGTGTCTGGGGAGGGGGGCGCCCCACCTGCAGTGCCGCGGGCGCGCCTTGGACAGGACGCGGGAGACTCTCCCCAGCAGGGGGCGGGAACCCCCCGGGGTGCGGACCTGCCCCCGACGGCCAGAGCCCGCGGGGCGCTCCTGGGGTGAACGCGCAGCCGCTGTGATCCCCGCTCCGCTCCGCCCGCAGGTGGGGGCGCCGCTGCTCCCGCATAGCCAGCCCGTCTCCAGGCATCGGGCACCCGGGTCCACTCCCCACCAGCCCGGGGACCCACCTCCCCCATCCCAGCACCCCCAGGCTCAGGAGTCCCGGCCCCCACCCGCCTGGGCTCCAGGGCCTCCCTGTTCCCAGCTGCAGGGCGGGCACAGTGGTGGGACCCCAGCACCCTAGGGTTTGAGTGTCCAGGACTTCCATGTCCGGCCGCAGGCAGGAAGGAAACAGCTTGGAGGAATGGTGGACCTCTCCCTGCCTCTGCCTGAGCAGCGCTGCCCTGGGGATGCTGGCAGCCCCCGTCGCGTGCAGCCCCGGGGGACGCCCGCTGGGAGGAGGGTGCCTGCTGACAGGAGGTGCGGCCCCCTGCACCCTGGCACGCCCCCGTCCCCAGAGCGGCGCCTGCAGTCAGACCCTTGGCTAGGCCGCCGGAAGAACTGGCAGCTAAGGCCTCGTGCGTTGGAGCCCGGGACGCCGCCCCCCAGTGACTGACATGCAGGCAGAAGCTGGGGTCACGGGGTGGACAGCACCTGTGGGGCATCTGCGGGAAGGCCCCCCGCCTGTGGGCACACCAGCGGGCCGGGTCCTGAGCTGGGCATGTGATGCGGCATCTGCACGTCCAGCGCCAGCAGCACCCACACTGCCTGCTGCGGGTCTCCGAGGCATCCCCCTTCCCGGCCCCACATTCTGGTTGGGGTAACTGTCCCCGTGTGTCTGAGGGTCCCCCCACCTCCAAGCTCAGTGTCTGCCCTTAGAGCCAGCACAGCCCTGCGAGTGGGAAGGGCGGCGCGGAGGACACGTGTCTCGGGCCTGCTGCGTCTGGCTCCCCGGAGGCCTTCCCCGGCCCGGAGGCCTGTGAGGCCCGCGCGGTCCAGGCCAGATCACAACTGAGGAAACTGAGGCCCGCTTGAGTCAAGCAGTAGCTGGTGGGGAGCCGGGGTGGAACCTAACGGTTCTTTACCCCACTCTGTGGCCGCGGGGTGCTGTGTGCTGAGGTGGGTGGTTGGCTGGACACGGGGGGATGACAGGGCCACGCCGGGCAGGTGGGAGGGGAGGCGGCCCTGCAAAGCGGAAACCTACTGTTTAGGAAGCACCTCCCCTGGCCCCAAGCATCCCCCCAGCTCTGAGGAGGCCCTTGAGGGGCACTAGCTGGTCCAGAATAGATTCCTCCCCTGTCAGGGGTCCGGGCAGGCCCACTCGGGGGCACAGCGATGAACGAGACTGTCCTCAGAGGTCCCTCGGTGTCCAGAGCGGCCAGGCCACACGCACAGGGAGAGCGCAGCCTGCAGCCGGCACCAGGGGCTGGCGGTGACTGCCCCATCCCAAGCTGGAAGCCGTCCCTGGGGGTCATGTGGCTGGTCTGCCAGGACAGGGCACCTCCCGGACATGGGCCTCCTGCCCGGTGTCTGCGCTCACGCCCACGGGCGGTCAGCGCTTGCTCCTCGGGCCCAGGTCTACTCCCTGGCTGTCTCCAGGCCCAGTGCCCAGGGCGTTGGAGCAAAATGCCGACTTCCCCAAAGCACCTTCTTGGGTGACACCTGGGGCTTTCGGAGACGAGGCATTTGGCCACCCCCGGCCCTGGCGGAAGCATCGCCGCCCATGACGGAGGAGGAGGGTGTGGTTGCCAGGACGGCCGGTGGGCTGGAGCTTCATTTGACCCTGTGGTTATGCCAGGCAGGTCTGGGCACGGAGGCCAGCTGGGGGTTGACCCACACAAAGCAGGCTGCCCTTTCCCAGGGGGGCTTGAGAGAGGCCACCAGCCCCCCCACCTCTCGGGCGAGGTTCATGGCTTATCCTCCCGGATCAAAGGGTGGCAACAGGGCTGGTTCTGGGGCCAGGCCAGGGCACATGTGGGACAACCATGCCCCGTGGGCCCAGCCTGCCCGGTCCCTGAGGATGCAGGTGGCCTGGAAGGAGGCCCAGATTCCACGCCTTGGCCAGCAGAGGGTGGGGGTGAGGGGACACGCACCCCTCCCCTCCCCTGGGTGCCAGGGTCAAGGCAGGAGGCCCCGGAGTGCAGAGGTGGGCAAAGCAGCCCATCCCCAGCCAGAACCGGGCAGGTCATGGACCTCCGCCCCTCCCACTCCCAGGAGCCCCAAGAGCTTCACGCTGTGCCCAGAGGGTCACTGGGTGTTCACTGCTCCCCCACTGCAGGTGCTCGCGCTCCCTGGCGTCCCCCAGCTGCTGCGTGTGAGGGCTGCTGCCCCCGCCGAGGCCTGGCTCCCAGGAGGATGCCCGGGCCGCCGGCCAGCTCCCGTCTGCACCATGAGTGAGGAGCGGCGGCTGCCGGGCAGTGCGGTGGGCTGGCTGGCATGTGGCGGTCTCTCCCTGTTGGCCAACGCCTGGGGCATCCTCAGCGTGGGTGCCAAGCAGAAGAAGTGGAAGCCCCTGGAGTTCCTGCTGTGCACGCTGGCGGCCACCCACATGCTGAACGTGGCGGTGCCCATCGCCACGTACTCCGTGGTGCAGCTGCGGCGGCAGCGCCCCGGCTACGAGTGGAACGAGGGCCTGTGCAAGGTCTTTGTGTCCACCTTCTACACCCTCACCCTGGCCACCTGCTTCTCCGTCACCTCGCTGTCCTACCACCGCATGTGGATGGTCCGCTGGCCCGTCAACTACCGGTGAGCTCCGGGCCGCGTGGTCACTGGGCTCTCAGTGGGGTGGGGGTGGGTGGCGGAACCCGGAGCCACCTGGTGCCCTTGCATGTGCCTTTGTGGGGTGACAGTGGCCCCAGTGGAGAGCTGGGGGCGGCGGGGAGGCCCCAGAGGGGCGGCAGGTTGCCGGGGCCCAGGCCCCCACAATGCTGACTGGGCCGTGACTGTGACATACTGGGGGGCGGGGGTGGTTGGGGATGGGGGGCGGAGGAGGCCCATGAGTGACCCCGGGTCGCCCTGTCCCGCCCTGTCCCGTGCAGGCTGAGCAACGCCAAGAAGCAGGCGGTCCACACTGTCATGGGTATCTGGATGGTGTCCTTCATCCTGTCGGCGTTGCCGGCCGTGGGCTGGCACGACACCAGCGAGCGCTTCTATGCCCACGGCTGCCGCTTCATCGTGGCTGAGATCGGCCTGGGCTTTGGCGTCTGCTTCCTGCTGCTGGTGGGCGGCAGCGTGGCCATGGGCGTGGTGTGCACGGCCATCGCCCTCTTCCAGACGCTGGTGGGACAGGTGGGGCGCCGGGCTGACCGCCGAGCCTTCACCGTGCCCACCATCGTGGTGGAGGATGCACAGGGCAAGCGGCGCTCCTCCATCGACGGCTCTGAGCCCCCCAAAACTTCGCTGCAGGTCACGGGCCTGGTGGCCACCATTGTCGTCATCTACGACTGCCTCATGGGCTTCCCCGTGCTGGTGGGTGTGACCGTCAGGGACCCGGCTCTGGGGCGGGCCCGGGGCTGGCACACACCAGGCTGCACGGGGCAGAAGGGAGGGGCCCTTGTCACCATCCCCATTTTACAGATTTGGGGACCCAGGTTCTGAGAAGTAAAATGACCCTCCTGAAGTCGGGCAGCCGTGGGGAGACTGGAACCCATGTCAGGGGACCGCCGAGCCTGGGTCTTTGTGCCATGCTGCCTGGGGGGCACAAAAAGGGGGTACTGTGCCCACCAACTTTCCGGAGGGTCCAGAGCCCAGGATGGATGCAGGGCTCAGCGGGACAGGACTGGCTCTGGTTCTGAACTGGGAGGCAGGGCAGGCCTGGGATTCTGCTGCATGGTCAGACTTGATCCCAGCAGCCGAGGAAGGTCCTGCCCAAAAGGGTCCAGGATCACCAGGGCTGCCTGGGCCCTGCCTGCCTGGCTGCACCCTGGCCTGGCCGTGACTGCTGTCTAGACTCACTCCCAAGCCCTTCTGCCCGCAGAGCTGCAGTCCAGCCCCCAAGGTCTGGAGCAGGACAGGCAGGGGCCCAGGACAAGGGCCGGCCAGGAGCTTCCTCCAGACAGCTGGGCAAGGCTGTGTTCCTGGACTCTCGCCAGACATGAGCCCCAGCAGGGGCCTAGTGGGCTGGGGAGCTGCTCGAATGCAGCCCCGGCCACCTGCTGCCCACCCCGGTGGCCCAGGCCCACAGGGTCTCAGGTCCACCCTGTGTGTGATGGGAGCCGGGGCCCCCGTCCCTGCGCTGGGGGCGAGGGGACATTTGAGCAGTGTCAGATCCAGACAGGCGGGAGGCCCTCCTGCCTCTCCAGGCCAGGGTGCTGTGGGGGAGCCCGCACAGACGTCGGCCTTCCCCTCACCCTGGGAGGTGCGCCCAGCCATTTCACAGAAGGAGAACGTGCGCCCCCTAGAGGCTGAGCACCGTCCTGCCGGCTGACAGGACCAGGGCGGTTCTGGGGTGCGGTCTCCGCTCTGATGGCAGAGTGCTCCGTGTCACTGGGCAGGGAGCCAGGGCCCTGGGCAGTGACCCAAAGGCCACCTGGCCGAGCCCTCTGATCCTTGGACGCTTTGATTTTCTTCCTCTGGAGTCTGAGGCCTAGACCCCTAGCCAGGGCAGGTGGGGGAGGCCATAGGCCATGGAGGACCTAGGCAGGGGAGGGCGATGGCTGAGGCTCGAGAACTGTTAAAATGGAGACCTGGTTCACCAAGCCTCTAACCAAAGGGTGGGTATCCCATGGCCCTGCCCTACTCCCCAGGCATTCGCGGGGTCACGGGAGAGGGTGCCCAGCACACTGCAGCCTCTACACACTCGTGGTCACCAGCTGGGGTCCCGCGGTTCTCCGTGGGCAGGGGCTCCCACTCTCCTGCACGGTGCTGTGGGCCGGGTGCCCCTGGCAGGTGGACATCAGCCCCACCACTCAGAGCAGAGGCTGGGGGGCGGGGGGTGGTGGTGCCAGGATCCTCTGGCCCTGGCCGAGCCCTGTGCCCACAGGTGGTGAGCTTCAGCAGCCTGCGGGCGGACGCCTCGGCACCCTGGATGGCGCTGTGTGTGCTCTGGTGCTCGGTGGCCCAGGCCCTGCTGCTGCCCGTGTTCCTCTGGGCCTGCGAGCGCTACCGCGCCGACCTCAAGGCCGTCTGGGGGAAGTGCGTGGCCCTCATGGCCAACGATGAGGACTTGGACGATGATGAGGATGGCCTGAGAGTGGCCCCCCGAGAGTGTAAGTTGTGGGTGAGGTCAGAGGGGTTGGGGGGGGTGACAGCTATCGGGTAACCAACCCGTGGAGAGAGGGACGCCCCATTCTCAGTTGCTAGATACCCCTTGTGTTCACCCCCAAATGTACTGGGACCCCTAAAAGACCCCAGCCTGGTGTCCCTTGGGGCACTTTCATGCCCACTTAGCTGCCCTGGGCAGTACCAACTTCAGGGATCCCCAGCAGACTGCCCCAGGGGCTCCTAGCCCAGGTCCTGTCTCCTTCAGCAGTAACAATGCCACCAAGGGAGCTCTTGCTACCTGCCAGCCAGCATCAGCCCCCATGTGCCCCCCAAGCTCCCAGGGTAACCTCAGATCCCACCCCTACAGATAAGGTCACTGGCTGGGTGTGACCGCCGGGTCCCACAGCTGCAAGGTGGCACGGCAGGGTCTGAACCAGGACCCTAGCCAGCCTCTGCCCTGTGTGTGTCTGGGGTGGGGGGTGCCCAGGACTTGCTCCAGGAGGCCCCCAGGTTCCCCAGCTCCAACACTCTGCCCGCCTGCAGACACCAGCCTGGAGGGTGGCATCCCCACCAACCTGGTGTTGGAGCGCTCCCTGGACTACAGCTACGGGGGCGACTTTGTGGCCCTGGAGAGGATGGCCAGGTACGAGCTGTCTGCGCTGGAGGGGGGCCTGCCCCAGTTCTACCCGCTGCGGCCCCTGCAGGAGGACAAGATGCAGTACCTGCAGGTAGGCGCGGCCCGGGCGTTCCTCTCTGGGCACCCCGCCCCCCTCCCTTGTCCCCAGTGCTCTGGGGGAAGCGCCGGGTCCTCCTATGTCCTGGGCGGTGCCGAGGGCGGGAGAGACGGTCCGCGTTCCCAAGCCCCCTCCTTGGCCGGGGCCGCCCTGAGGGCAGGCCAACCTTCCCGGGGTGCCCGCGGGCCAGGGCCCCCGGCTGACCGCGGGTCCCCGCAGGTCCCGCCACGCGGCGCTTCTCGCACGACGACGCGGACGTGTGGGCCGCCGTGCCCGGCCGCTGCCCGCCCTCCTGCCGCGCTGGGGCTCGGGCGAGGACCTGGCCGCGCTGGTGCTGCCCCCGGGCCCGACCGGCGCCGCGGGAGCCCGCTGGCCTCGGCGGAGGACGCGCCCCCGTTCCGCCCGCGCCGCTGCTCCGCGGAGAGCCTGCCGGCCGCGCGCCCCCCGGCCCTGGACGGCGGCCCGCGCCGCGCCCCCGGCTCGCCCCCCGGCAGCCCGCGCCGCCGCGCCGGGCCCGGCGCGCGCTCGGCCTCGGCCTCGCTGCTGCCCGACGCCTTCGCGCTGACCGCCTTCGAGCGCGAGCCGCAGGCGCGCGCCGCGCGCCCGCCGCGCCCGGCCCTTCCCGGCCCGCGCCCCCGGCCCCGGCCCCGCCGGCGCGCGCCCCCCGGGGAGGCGGCGCCCCATGGCAGCGGCGCGCAGCGGAGCCCCGGGCCGCGCCTGAGCGCGCGCGCGCACGCCGGGACCCTGCGCACCGCGCGGAGCGCGTCGTGGGGCGACCCGGGGGGCCTGCGCGCGGCCGGCGGCGACGGCAGCACCAGCAGCTTCCTGAGCTCGCCCTCCGGGTCCTCGGGCTACGTCACGCTGCACTCGGACTCCCTGGGCTCGGCGTCCTAGGGCCCGTCGGGGGCTCGGCCGGCGGGGGCCAAAGCACCAAAGACGCCGCCCTGGCCCTCCCCGAGCCCGGGACAGGCCCGCGCGGGGCCCGGCGGCGGGGCCCGGACGTGCGCCCGCCCTCCCGGGGCCACAGGGCGGCGGGTCTCTGCCGGCCGTGGCCGGGCCAGCGGGCCTTGCTTGCAGGAGCAGAGTGGGGGGTGGGAAAACCGAGCCGGGGCCGCTATCGCGGGGAAAGGCCCCGCGGTGGGGGAGAGGCCCCCCCACTGCGTCCTGCCGCCTCGCTGCCCCTCACTCGCACCGCGGGGGCAGTGGCCGTGGGTCTCTAAGCACAGGGTCTTCAGCCCCCAAACAACCTCTGAGCAGGGCTCTGGCCCGTTCTGCCTCAGTTTCCCCATCTGTGATGAGCAGGTGACCACGTTAACTCTCAGGACTGCTTGGAGAAGTCGCCTGCCCCGGGCAGCGCCTCAGATGGCCTGGGGTCCTCTGTGGGTCAGTCTGCAGGGTGTGGCTCTAGGCCTGAGCCGCGCACTCAGTGCCCCCAGCTGAAGCACAACCCATCAGCACCCTCACCTTTGGCACCAGACCTCCCTGGACCGCCATAGCTTCCCCACCTGCATTGCTCTGCCACCACTGCCACTCCCACGGCCAGCCCCCTGGGTGGCTCCCACCCTGAGGGACCTGGGTGCAGGGTGGAAAGGGCTGAAGCAAGCAGGAAGCAGGGGTGGGCCTTCCTGTACCCGCTGCCCAGCCCTTGCTTCTCTTCTGGCCAGAAAGGGGTCCTGGCTTACAGGCCTCCTGGGTCTTGGTGAGAGTCCTCTCCCCTGAGGACAGAGCTCCTCTTTGCTGCCGTCCTGGGCGGACCCCTTGCAGGCTCGAGCTTTACCACGTGTGTGGGGAGGGTGCGGGGGGGGGTGACTCGGGAGCAACTGTTACCTTGAACTGGAGGGACAGGGCAAACGCTGTCCTGCCTCTATGCTGTGGCCCCACGCAGGAGAGGATTTGGGGGGCGCGAGCAGGCCTGCACCCTGTTCCTCTTGCTCTGCAGCTGGGGTTACAGAGCTGCCTCTGCCCTTTGGGCTGCCAAGCCCACCTCCTCGCCATCCAGACAGGTCCCAGCCCAGGAGAGGCAAAGGGACCAGGGAGGGTAGCCTCGGCCTCGGAGGCCCCCTGCAGATCCTGGCCGTGGGGTAACTTAGGGGGTGAGCTGGCCCACAGGTGAGCCAGATGGGGGTGCTGTGTCCAGCCCTGGCCAATGATGCTGAGCCTTCAAGGACTGACATGTCATACGGGGGCAGAGATCACCAGCTCGCCACTGTCACCCCTTCAGACTGGCCCACTGTCCCCTTGGGTTTTCACCTTCATGTCCACTGGCAATATTTGCAGGAGAACCTGGTCCCCCAAAGCCCCTCCAGTTCTGGTTTTCACAAAATTGAAGAGGAGGGAGGACCTCAGTGGAGGATGCTGGGGGCCTGGTGCTCCCTCTCACTTTGTCCAGCCTCCAGACCAGTTGGCTGCGTTGAAAAGCAGCTTGACCCCGGGCTCGCTGTGCATGGAGCTGTCTTCAGGCCACGTCTATGCAGAGCTGGGGATCTGTTTGTAGTTTTTTTGACAACTGAGCATTTCTCTACTGTACAGAATCCAATAAAAACGTCCTCACGATTTGCACCCGGCATTGCTAGGCTGGTTTCATGGCAACACCCTTCTGAAGCCTACCTGGAGCGGGGCAGCTGCGCCCACACCTCTCTCCCTCTGGGCCCTGAACCCCTCCGCTGGTGTCCGGTTCCTCTGGGTCTGACAAGTGCTGACCCTCTCCCGACGAGGGGGATGGGCACGGAGCAGCGCGAAGCCCCGAGTCCAAATGGCAGCCCCTGGGGTGTCTTCAGGGCTGCCAGCCCCCTTGCGGGTGTTTTAAAAGACCGAGAAAGGCAGGACCTGGGGGCGAGGCACCTGTGACATTTGCGCAGACGTTCACCCCTCTCCGCGCTCCCGCCTGGAGTCAGGAGGCTGCACCCCGGGTCCGCAAAGCAAGATCGCCACCTGGTGGGCCAGAGAGGAGGTAGCCCCCCCACGACCGCGCAGGGGGGAGCGGCACTCGAGAGGCGGCCCCCGAGACCGCACTGCGCGCACCCCAGCTGCGCCCGCGCGGGGCAGTCCTCTGGCCGAGGTGGGGGGCCGGGGCGTGGCGGGTCGCTCGCCCCACGGACTGGCCAGGACGGGTTTAGGGCGCGGTCCAGGCAGGGCAACGCCGAAGGGGGGCTGTGTCCATAGAGAGTGGCCATAGAGGGGCAGAAAGGAGCGCCCGGGTAGGCACGGCGGGAGGAACCAGAACCTTCGCGCTCTTTTACCCACTTCACAGGCCCCGCTGTCTTTATTGAGAATTTCAAGCAGGTGGAGGAGGAGCTGGCACCCCAGGCGGCCCCGCGGGCCGGCGCCCCATGCAGGGGGCCTGGGGGAGACCCTGCCCGGCGCGCCCCACCACGAAGTCCGGGCGCAGCAGCCACCTCCTGGGGAGAAGGGGCGGCCGCCGAGGGGCGCGGGTTCCTGGCGGCCCGGAGTTCGCAGGCCGGAGCGCTGCGGCCGGGTGGGGCCCCGCGCGGGGTCTCTGTGGAGGGCGCGAGGGGCCCTCTCCGCGCGAGATGCCGGGCCCGCCGCCGCCGCCCTTGGCTGGCTGGGCCGTGCGCGGGGTCCCTCCCGAGCGGGGCGGGGCGCGGGGGGAGCCGGGCAGGGCCTCCCTCTCGGCGGGGCGGGAGCCGGGGCCGGCTGGGGACCCCGCGGCGCGGGGCGGGTCTTCCGAGGGGGCCGGGCCGGGCGCGCGGAGGGGCGGGGGCCGGGGCGCCCGGCGGGGCTGGGCGGGGGCCCGTCGCTGGCGGGGCGGGGCCGGCGCGCTTTGTGCCGGTGGGAACCGGGCGTCCCCGGCCGGCTGAATGGGCCGGGGCGGGGCAGCGATTCTCCTCGCTGCCAGGGGTCCGCTCTGGCCGCTGCGGGCGGGACCTTCCCAGCGCGCGGGCCCTGGGGGCGGGGCGGGCGGCCCGCTCGGGGCCCCTGGGAAAAGGGCGCGCCCTGGACGTCCCCGGCCGGCCCCGCTGGAGGGTGGGGGAGGGAGGGTCCCGGCGGCAGCATGGGCTGCGGGAGCGAGGGCTGGGCCGCGCCGAGGTGCCAGGCACCGGCTGCCCGAGGCTCGGTGTCCCCGCCCGGGCGGGCGCGCCCGCAGGAACGGACGACGAGGGGCCCGGCCTTCCCCCGGGGCGCCCGGACAGCCTCCAGGCGCGCCGAGCAGCCGGGGCCCCCGCGACGGCGCTGGCCTCACCAGGGCCGCCACACGTGCAGCCCGGGCCGCGGGCTCTCGGCGCAGCGGGGCGACGCCGGCGGGGGCGCCGGGACGCGGGTGGACGCGCCGGGGAGCCGCGGGGGCGAGGGCCGGGAGCCGCCCGCAGCGGGGCCGGGACCCCAGACGGCCGGGGCGCTGGGGGCGCGCGGCGCGGCCGCCTCCCGGCCGGGGCCGGCGCTGTCCATGGTGCTGCCGCCCGCGCGCCCGAGCGCCAGGGGCCAGCGCGCGCCGCCGCCGTCCTCGCCGCGCCGCGGGAGCGGGCCCAGGCCGGGCAGGCAGCCGCGGAAGCCCGACGGGTGTTCCGCTCCGCTGGGGACCGGCCAGAGCCCTGGGGAAGGGGCGGCAGACAGAAATGGGGGGGTGGGGTGGGGAGAGTAAGAGAGGGGGGTGAAGGGGGAGATGGGGCAGAGAAGTGTGGAGAAGGGCGGGGGAGAAGCGACCTAAAGGTCTCTCCGCAGGGTCCAGACCTTCACCGGCCCGGATCAAAGCTCCACAGCCAGCGACCTGGCGCCCCTCCTCACCCAGCCACCCCCGCCCTGAAGTTCCCCCCAGTCCCTCCCCTCTCCGCCTGGACTCCCGCGCTCCGGGTTGCGCGTCTCTTCGCCCCCCACCCTCACCCCCACCCCTGGGACCTTCTCTACCTTGCACTGCGTGCTGAAGGCTTTTCATGTACTTGACGCTCAGTTCCAGTATGTCCGCCTTCTCCAGCTTGCGTTTCCGGATCTGCAGCCCGTGAAAAGGGCCCTTAGCCGGGGACTTGGGTCGGTTGGAGGGGATGAAGCTCGGATCGCGTCACCCCCACCACCACCACGGCCCCCCGTCTCGCCTGGTGGGAGTAGTGTTTCTCCAGCAGGGACTTGAGTTGTTCCAGCGACACATTGATGCGTGCCCGGCGCTTCTTCTCCATCAACGGTTTGGAGATCTGTGGGTGAACAGCCATCAGAACACAGGACTATGGCCCTCTCGCCTCCGGGCCCTGCAGGGCCTGGGCAGGCCCCCACCCTGCGCCCCTCAAGACCCCCAACCTTGCGGAAGCTGCCCGCGGGGCTGCTGGAGCCGCCCTGGGTGGAGGGCTCAGTGCCCATGTTGTGGCATCTGGACCCGTGGGAGGCAGCACCGCCTTTATAGGGGCCCCTCGTTTACATGTCAATGAGGCTTTCCAAGACTGGAGGACCCCTGGGGGGGAGGGGACAAAGGGGGGGGTGCACCAGGACATTCCCCACCTCTTTCTGCCCGACCCCCTCCCGGACTTCAGCTTCTCCTCCGGGACCCCTCCTCCCTCTGGAGAGACCCCTTTTACCCTTCCTCACTCTATTTCCCTGCCCCCCACCTCCCCAAGTCTGGGATCCTGTCCCAGGCCCATCCCCTCCATGCTCTGTCCCACCCCAGTCTCTCTAGGCTCTGAGTCTCCACACCAGCCTCACTTGCCCAGTCTTTGATGCCCCTTGTCTCTGAGCATTCCCTGGGGGCACCCACCGACTAGGTCCCTGGGTCCAGCCGGCTGGGAGCTCTGCCAATGACTGTGACCATGTGCTTGGCCCCCCAGGGCTGATGAAGATGCGGAGATGGAGCCCTCCAGCGAGGCCTTTCTGCGGGCTTCACGCTCGGGCCACACCGGCAACGCCGCATTAGTCGCCCTAATGTTGGGACAATGCAGCGATTTTCTGCCTGTAGCCACTCAAAGCCGGGCGCAGGCTGGGCCTGCGGGGGCCACGCAGCAACATGTGTCCCATTAAAGCGTGCAGCCCGCCCGCAGGGCCACAGCCAGCCTCCTCCTCGCGAGTCCAGGCACTGGGAGCATGTCCAGGCAGGGGGGAGGGGGGCACAGCCTGGTACGTCCAGCTGGCGGGGGGCCCTGCTCTGGCCACGGTGAGCCGAAATGACCGCCCCACGCTCCTGGGGCCAGGCCTGGGTTCCAGGCAGGGCAACCGCGGGGCCTCTCTCTCAGAGGAGACCTAGGAGCTTATTTCCAAAGATCTTCCCTCCGTCCCAACAAATGGGAGGTGGGGTGGGGAAGGATCATGGGGGAGACCCCTCTGCGCTTTGGGAGGGCAGGCGGGACCACTTTCCAAAATTCAGGCGGTGGCCGGAGTCCCAGGGGGCTGGGCGGGCAGGCGGGTGAGCCAGGCCCTGCCTCAGGCCTCTGGCTGGTCCCTGGGCTGAAGTCCGCCAGCTGTTGACTGAAGGCGGGGTGACGTCCGGAGGGGTCCCTGGGCCCACACTCCTTTACTGGATTCCTGGGCTTAGTTTCAAGGTTTGTAAAACGGGGTTCCCAAGAAGGCGGGTCCCTAGGGCTGCCTTTGAGGACGCGAGGGGGCAGGTGGACGCCAAGTCTTCTGTTGCGCCCGCGGCAGAGGGATGGACAAGCTGCCCTTCGCTGGCCCTCAGCGTGGCGGGGGAGTTGTTGGGTCCTAGGTGGGCGCCCCAGCTCTGGAATCGCGGCGTCCTGCCCCACCCCGCCCTCTCCCCGGGTCCTGGGGGGCGGGGGCGCGGCGCGGCGTTCCCAGGCCCCGGGCAGCGTGGAGAATCGCGCTCCGCCCTCCGTGCCGGGCGCGGCTGCGGCCACGGCGCCCGGAATCCCCCGCCCGCCCGAGTCGCGGGGCCCGCGCGCCAGGTCCCGCCGCCGGGCCGGGGCGGAGCGGCAGGGCCGGGGCACGGCGGGCTCCGGCACGCGCCGCGCGGCTTTGAAGCGCCGGGGCCGGCCGGGGCCTCGGCGAGGAGGCTGCGGCCGGCCGGGGCGGCGGTGGCGAGGGACAGGGGCGCGGCGGGGCGGCGCGGCGGGGCACAAAGGGAGCAGCCGAGTGTCACGGGCTTTGTGCGGGCCCCACAAAGCCGCGTCCGCGCCCGCCCCTTCGCCGCCGGGCTCCGGGCGCCCCGCAGCGCGCGGGCTTCCAGCTGCTGCACATCTGCAGGGCGGCCGGGCGCGCGCCGCGCTCCGGAGGCCGCGCCTCTCCCCGCCCGCCCCGGCGAGGCGCGCGGGCAGCCGGGCAATTTGTCCCCTAATTACGAGCCTCCCCAGAAAGCGCCGCCCGCGCCTTTCAACCCGCGCGCATTAGCAAGCCAATGGGCCCGGCGCGGCTCTCGCGGCCGCCGCGGGGCGCCGGCCCGCCCCTCTCCAGAGTTAGGGCCCCCATAAAGGGGCCCGCCCCCCCCCGCTCGCCCCCCGCTCGCCCCCGGGCACCTGCGCCTCCTGGGGACGCGGCCCCCCTTCAACCCCTGTCCGAGAACCCCGGCCGCGCTCGGGGGCGGGTGGGGGTGCTGCTCGCGTGGGTGGCTTAGTGCTGCCGAAGCCGTGGAAAATGGACCGCAAAATGCGCTAATTCGCAATGTTCTGCTCGGGCGGCGCGAGGCGAGGCCGCCGGGCCGGGACCCCACCGCGGGCCGGTCCCGCCCCCGCCCAGTTCGGCGGCCGGGCCTCGCCTGCCCTGCCCACCCGGAGCCGCCTGCCGCGCCCCCGCCGCTCTTTCACTCCTCGAGACTATCCTGCGGCTGGCGTGTCCCCCACACTTTGGGAATTTCACCCCTTTCTCCCCAGCGCCCTCCTCACAAACAGCCCCCTCCGCCAGCTTGGCGCCTCAAACCGGCTGGATGCAAAACCGGATGCAAGACGGAACCGGATCGTGCAAATTCCACCCTCCCTTCCCCCGGGGCGCAGAGACAGCTCCTCCAGCTCCCGTCCCCACTTCATCCCCAGCTCGGGCTCCTTCTGGGCCTCCGCTTCCCGTCCCCTGGGGCGGGGGGGGGTCAGTTCTCTGCATCCCGCAGACTTTGGGAAAGAGGCAGAGCCGAGTCGCTTTCCCTCCCCGCGCCTGGCCGGCTAGTCCAGCACCTGGGCGTCCTCAGGCCCGCCGGGCTGGGTCGGGGAGAGCTGCGAAGAAGCAGGGGAGACGAGGAGTAGTATCGGGGTCACCCTGTCCTCGCTGAGAGTCAGCAGGATGATGCCCTCTCGGGCTGCCGGGAAGGGCAGGAACCAACTTAGAGCCGGGCCTTCAGCGGGATGTAGGATGTAGGTCACTGCTCCCTTTCCATCTTTAGCATCTGGGGCCCCCAGGGGCCTGGAAAGGAACACAAGTCCTGGCCGAGCTCTGGGGAGACCCAGGACGCCCTCTTCTTTGTCAAGGAGACAATTTTTCCATAGCCAGGAGGCTCTGGTGGTCCCCAGGGCCACTCAGGACCAGCCCTCTGCTTCTTCCTCGTGCTGCAGGCTTAGGGCCAGAGTGACCCGCGCCTCTGTCGGCCCTGCTTCCTTTTTTTTTTTTTGAAGAAAAAAGTTGTTTAAAAGTTGTTTTAAAGACACAACTTTATAGGAAGTCAGGTCTAGAAACAAGACGGGGAGGGGCCTGTAGAGGCCAGAACAGGAGCCCTACCCTTGTCACACCAACCGTCTCTGGTACATCCCTGGGGGGAAGCCGGGGAACCCCTTCCTGCTCTGTCCCTGGACATCTAAAACAGCGCTAACTGGGGAGAGCTGTGGAGGTGGCTGTGGGTGCGGGGCCTGGAGGCAGGAATGCACAGTGCCCTCCACAGATGCATTTCAAAGTGGAATGAAGTGATCGCGCCATGTAATTAACTATTGGGACACAGCAAAAGCCCTGAAATGACTCAGCCAATTGTGTACAGATGGGGTTGGAGAGGCTGCGATTGTTTAACTCTCTTTAGCTGGGTTGGGGCTCCCAATAGCCCAGCAGCCGCGGGCCCTCCAGGGGACAAAGGCAGAGCCTCTGGTGAGTGCATCAACACTGAACCGGGCTGGGCCAGCTTGGGGAGAGTGAATTCAGAGAGACCCGCATTGTCCCAGCCCTTTGTGTTACTCCCCAGCTGGCTCTAATCTTTAAATATTTACCCGGCCCCTTTGTGCACCTATGACTTATGCACTTTAGGCTGATGTGCTCATAAATTACGCGTCACTTCCCCGTTTCCAGACTAGAAGGAGGGGGCGATCGTGCCTGGAGCCGGGAATGGGCAGAGGAGGGAAAAGAAAACCTCTCTCTCCTGGGAGAGCAGCAGTCACGGGCGGGCACCTCCCGGCCTCCCTGTGGGAAGTGGACGAGCAGGGGCCTGTGAATGACATGGACCCCCAGGAGGCCACTCTGATGACTGGCAGGGACCCATCCCAGGGAGGAAGGAGAGACAGGATTCTGGACTTTTCCCTACTTGGTGTCAGACACGGACGGGAGCCCTAGGAGTCGGCGTTAAAGTGTTTGGTCAGCTCCGGAGAGAGGGGGGCACCCCATCCTTGCACATGCCTCCTCTGTGCTGTGGGCCACCCCCCTTCTCATGGTCTTTCTTGCTCAATACAGCAGTCCCGGCTAAGGAATGGGAGTGTGATTTCATCTCAGTCTGGAGTTAAACTTGAAAATGTCAAGGTGGTCTTTGGGGCGCCTTAAGACAGGAGGGAACCCCGACCTCCCCTGGTGGCGCAGCGGTTGAGCGCTGGGCTGTAAAGCTGCCTGCAGCCTCTGCAGCGCCGGTTCGATCCCCGGCCCCGGCGAGGGTCCCACATGGCGCGCAGACCTCTCCTGCCGCCCGCTGCTCCCCTTAGCAGTGCATTTCAGTCCTTCTGCCTGCTCTGCTCCCCGCTCTGGCTCTGGTGAATTCTCTCACCCTCCTGCGCTTCTGACTGTACCCAGTGCTTGTATAAATAAATAAATCAATCTTTAAAAAAAAAAAAAAAACAACACAGGAGGGAACCCCACTGGGCCCAGGATAGAAAGCCATGAGCTGATAGGTGGATGGCAGCATAGGGGGAGTCCCCAAAGAGGGACCTTCCTGCATGAGAAAGGACTCCCTTTGTGCCTGCCTGCAAGCTCCTAGAACAAGACACATTCAGATGCTTATTTATCCAAAAAGGCAAGCAAGCCATGCCAGGGCTGAGTAGTTTTCCTTTATTTTCTTATATTTTTGTGCTGTTCCCCTAGCTTGGGGGGTGGGGTCAAAGTGCTGGGATGCTGGAGAGGCGGCCAGAATGGGTCTGTGCGCTGAGAACTTCCTTTCTGGAGGGGAAGCCTCCGGAGTGTGTTTAGGTCTATGTCTCTGTGTGAATTACTGTGTTGCTGTGCGTATCTCTTTGTGTGCCACTTTGTTTCTCTGCATCTTTATTTGTTTTTTTTTTAATATGTATTTGTTTATGCATACTAGAACTGGGGTACAGGCCAGAGGTGGGCTGAGAGGATTCACCAGAAACAGAGAGGGGAGCAGAACAGGCAGATCTACTGAAACACACTGCTAAGGGGAGCAGTGGGGAGACAGGAGAGGTCTGCTGCGCCATGTGGGTAGCTCCCTGGCCAGGGATGGAACTTGTGCTGCAGAGACTGCGGACATCTTCATAGGTTGCTTCTTTTTTTTTTTTTTTTTTTTCATAGGTTGCTTCTTAACCCCTTGTGCCACCAGGGAGGCCCTGCATTTCTATTTGTTTACTTGTCTTTCTCCTCCATCACTGCTCTGCACTGCTGGGCCCTGGCAGATTCAATAACTCCAGTGATGTCTAAAATAATTCCCCTTCCTAGGGGGTCTGGCGCTCCCTGGTAGGGAACAACCTGTTTCTGTCTTCCTTTTCCAAAATGGGGCTGATGAAGATGCAGGACCTGAAAGGAAGTAATGGGCAGAGGAGAGGATTGTTCAGATTCTCCAGGCTGGATTACATGTTACGCTAAGCAACCCTCCCCTCCCCAGAACAGAGATGGCCCCTGGGGGTGAGTCAGGTGGCAAGCAGATGCCAAGGGCCAGAGGAGCTTCTTTGGAGTAGCTCTCTGCCCCTGGACCAGGCTCACTCCCGGCGTGAAGATGCAGTGAGTGCCCTCTAGTGGCCCCAAGGTGTTGGGCACAGAGAGAGGTCCTGAGTTTGGGGGAGACCCTGAGAAACTGGGAGCAGTGGCAGGAGAACCCCATCTCAACCTCCAGAGAGAGGGCCTCCCTGGTGGCGCAAGGGTTAAGCACTGCACTATGAAGCAATCTGCAGCCTCTGCAGCATGAGTTCAATCCCCAGGCGGCCAGGGAGCAACCCACATGGCGAGGCAGACCTCTCCTGTCTCGCCCGCTGCTCCCCTCAGCAGTGTATTTCGTCAGTCTGCCTGTTCTGTTCCCCACTCTGTCTCTGGTGAATTCTCTCACCCCTACATCTGTGGCCTGTACCCCAGCTCTTGTATGCATAAATAAATAAATCTTTAAAAAAAAAAAACCTGCAGAGAGAGCAAGGCCTCTATCCCACACTTCAACTGGGTGACTTTGATTTGAAAACATTAAATCTTGCAATTCCCATCAACCAAATTTAGAGAATATCTTCTGGGCACCATTTAAACATCCTTAGATTTAAAGAATTTGATCGATGGTGCATGTGAAATCAGGACAAACTGAGACTCAGTTTGTCCAGGGTCACGAAGTCTGGCTATGATGGCATGTTGGGTCAGGATTCCAGCCCAAGTTCTCCATCCTTCCCTGAGCCCAGCCACCGGGCCCCTGGCCTCCTGCCAAGGGGGCTGCAAGCGCTCAGATGCCCGCAGCCCACAGTCCTCTTGACCTCATTCTCTGTCAGCCACTCACTGCTCTGGGCTCCAGCCTCCCCTGGGCCTGTCCCCTACCCTGCCTCAGACTTCTTCCCTCCTGCCAGTGTCTTTGCCAACTCGTTGCCCTCCTTCCATCAGACGCCCTTGCTCTCATTTCCAGAGACGGGCAGGCGGCCTGCGGGTCCCCGAGGGTGCCAAGCCCAGCTCCAGGTCTCTTCCATGCAGACTCCTAGGCCTCCAGCCCTCCGGCCCCAGCCTCTCCTGGGGGCCCCACTCCCCTCCCCGTTCTTTCTTGGCTCCGGCCTCACCTCTGCCCGCCTGCAGCTGGTCCCTCTCCCTGGCTTCTTGGTCTTTCCCCTTTATCGCGCCTGTGAGCTCCCCGAGGGGGACGCAGTAAGCCTTGGAAAAAGCAGAGAACAATTTCTGACTGTAAGTCAGGCTTTGACTGTAGACGCTGCCTTTGCACAAAAGCACAGAAGGCAATGAAGGCCCCAGGTTGCGCCCCCTGAAGGTACCTGCGTCCGCAACCCTGTCGTGTGTCACCCGCCGCGCGGGCTCGCGCAGACGCTCCTGCTTCCCGCAGCCGGGGCGGCTCTGCGGAACCTTTAATTCTGCCCTAAAACTTCTACTAGAAAAACCACAGCAAACGCGCCGGGACACCCTGGGGCGACGGCCGTCCACGGCGCTGCCCCGGCCCCCCGCGAGCGGCAGGCGTCTGTTTCGGGGTGGGGGGACCCGCCGAGGATGGGGTCGCTTCGATTTCACCCGCTTTCTCCCCGCAGGCACTTTCTTGAGTTTGGGGCCAACTTCTGCGAGACGCGGGCGGCCACGTGCGCGCCCCGCCGCGGCAGCCGGGCCCGGGAGCCGGGGGCGGGGCCGGGAGCTGGGGGCGGGGCCGCGGGCCGGGGGCGGGGCCGGGGAGGGACCCGGGGCGGGGCCCGGGAGCCGGGGGCGGGGCCGGGCGGCGGCGCGACCGCCAAATTCGGGCCCCCGCCCCGCGGCGCGGCGGTCTCGCGAGAACTGGCGGGCGGCGCGCGGCTCCCGGCAGTGGCCGCCCGGCCGGCGTCGGCGGCGCAGTGCGCAGGCGCGGCGGGCGGGTTTCCCGGGGCTACAGCCGGCGCCGCCGCGGCCCGTCGTCCGCCGCCCGGCGCCATGGCGGGCTGCGGGGCGCGGGCTCCGCGGGGCTCCGAGGCGCGCCTCAGCCTCGCCACCTTCCTGCTGGGCGCCTCGGTGCTCGCGCTGCCGCTCCTCACGCGCGCCGGCCTGCAGGGCCGCACCGGGCTGGCGCTCTACGTGGCCGGGCTCAACGCGCTGCTGCTGCTGCTCTACCGGCCGCCGCGCTACCAGGTGGGGGCGGCCGGGCGGGCGGGCGGCGGGCGGGCGGCGGGCGGGCCGGGCGCGCCGGGCCCGGGGGCAGGTGGCGGGGCCCCGCGGGCGCTCGCGCTGGTCGGGGCTGCCGGGTGTGGAGCCCCCGGGCCGCGTCCCGGGCGCAGGCCCCGCAGGGTCGCCGTGGGGCCCGGCGAGGGCCCGGGGGTGCACCCGGGGGACCCGGCCAGCCACCTAGTGTGTGCGGGTCCCCGCCGCCCTGGCCGGGGAGAGCCGGAGGAGCTGACGGCCCCGGCCAGGGGCGCTGGCCCTCGAGGGCTGCCCCGCGCGCGGGCCCTCGGTCCGCAGAGCGGGTGCCGGCCCGTCGCCCCCACTGTGTAGACGGGGAGACCGAGGACGGAGAGGCTGAGCAGGTTGTCCAGGGTCACGCGGCTGGAGAGTGGCTGAGGGTGTGAGCCCGGGTCGCCCGGCGCCCCAGCCCTGGGCAGACCGGCTCCCCGACGGCCAGGTGACGCCTCTCCTGGGTCCCTTGCAGATAGCCGTCCGGGCTTGTTTCCTTGGCTTTGTGTTTGGCTGTGGCGTGCTGCTAAGTTTTAGCCAGTCTTCTTGGAATCACTTTGGCTGGTAAGAAGCTCTTTGGGGTGGCGGGGTGAGGCGCGGGTGGGCGGGCGGGGCCGGTGGTGGTGTCTTCTCATCTGTGTCTCCTCCTGGCTGAGGCTGTTGAGGGGTCTGTGGGTGAGGCTCCTCGCTTCCTCCTCTCGGACCTTGAGGACTGGTGTCCGTTCCGCTGTTGCAGACACAAACAGGTCCCAGGCACGCTCCCCACAGGTGGCCTCGCCCACACCTGCAGCGGCACTGGCAGAGATGCGGTGACCCCTTCCCCGAAGAGGGACAGGTCCTCTGTGACGGGAGGGGCGAGGCCCCGGCTCGTCTTCACTGGCCTTTTCCATCTCTAATTTCCATTAGGTCACAGCTAGTGCCTCCCCCACGGCCAGTGTAGGACTTTCCCTACACTATGATTTCAGTCCCTTGAGCCTTCTAGCCCCTGACCTGGATAGGAACCAGCGGCTTCCAGGTAAAAAGCTTTTCTCCTCCTGTCAATATGCTGGGCCATCCAATCCCTCTTGGCTGGAATTGTTTCCGTTTTGCTGCATCTTTTGTGGACATACACCTCCGCTTTCTTTTGGTGTTTCCCCCTTGTGTGTTCCTGTGCGTGGTGTCATCTGAAAAGACTGAGGGGCCCATAACGCCTTCCTAGTCTGTGTCTGGTTATTGTATTTACTTGTGATGGGGGAGAAAACGTGACCCCTCGGAGGCCCCCCTTTCTGCAAGCCTGAAGGGGAATAGTGCTCCCCGGGGGTGCCTGCTGTCCACCCTCAGACACGCGACACCAGGGCCTCTTCCTAGAACTGGGGGCCATTCCGCAGACCCCAAGCCGGACTTGGACTTGTGGCTGACTTGGTTCCCTGGCCCCCATTGACCTGCCTTTCTTTTTGTTTTTAAATAGGTATATGTGCTCCCTGTCATTGTTCCACTACTCTGAGTACCTAGTCACAGCCGTCAATAACCCCAAAAGTTTGTCCCTGGATTCCTTTCTTCTGAATCACAGTCTGGAGTATACAGTAGCTGCTCTTTCTTCTTGGATAGAGTTCACACTTGAGAATATCTTCTGGCCAGGTCAGTGTGCCCTGCTTTCCTCCGGAGGGGAGAAGGGAGGCCCCCCCCCTGCTCATGTCCCAGGAGGACAGTGGCGCGGGTTAAACTCTCGGGTCTAATCTTACCCAGTGATTATCCCCAGACTCCTCGCCTCCCTCAGCTGCACTTGGGAATTCTACTCTGAATTTGGAATCGAGGACACGGTGACCTTTTGCCTTAGGCCTTGCGTAACAGGGCACTAGGAAGTCCCAGCCTTGATAGCGGTGGTGCTTATTTACAGTCCAAGGAGGTTCGGCTCGCTTCATTTTCTGGGACTTGGGAAGTTTCATGTGAAGATTTTATGAGCAGAAGCCTCTGCACCTGAGCCTGCTTGCGGGTCGAAGTTTGCACAGCAGATCCAGTCGCACCCCAGGCTTCAGGAAAGGCCGAGTGCGAAGCCCCAGATGCTTCTCTGCCGCGCTTAGCTGTCCTTGTCCCCCCGGGGAGGGACCCAGAGCCCAGGCTCTAGGAGGCTCTTTGCCACGACCTGCCAGTTGGGTCGTCAGCACTTTACAGGAAATGGATGAACAGCAAACTTAGGGGAATGTGTTTTGCTTATGATGAAATTTTAATGTGACAAATGCTAATTGTCCACCAGCGTGTTTCTTGGCGTTTCTATCTTTGGAGAAAATAGGTCAGTTTTAAGCATCCAGAGTAGGAACTCCAGCGCCCCGGGTCTCACTCCCCCTGTCACTCATGTGTCCTGCAGAGCTGAAGCAGATCACCTGGCTCAGTGCCACCGGGCTACTGATGGTGGTCTTCGGAGAGTGTCTGAGGAAAGCGGCCATGTTTACAGCGGGGTCCAATTTCAACCACGTGGTACAGAATGAAAAGTCAGAAACGCACACCCTGGTGACAAGCGGGGTGTACGCTTGGTTCCGGCACCCTTCCTACGTCGGGTGGTTTTACTGGAGTATCGGGACCCAGGTATAGTATCAGATGTGCCGCTGGTCCCTTTTGCTTTTGCTCTTTTCACATTTCTCAGTTGACCTCTGTTAAACGTAGCGTAAGCTCGGCCGTTCTGAGCATACTGGGCAGTGACGTCCAGCGTCCTCATGAGGCCGGCGGTCTCCTGTAGACAGGTAGCGTTTCCGGTCACCTTTCAAGTGATAACTAAATAAAAGCCAGAAGAACTCATCTAGTCCTTAACCTTCTTTACTGTGTACCTCACCCCGGGGCCTCCTGACTTGTGGACTCTTGCTGACTCCGCCGTCCCCGTCTGCCTGTTTCACTCTGACCTGAAGGACCCCGGTGGGGTGAGGATGGGGCGCTGTGGGGGGAGAGCCCGCCGCCGTTCAAGTGGAGGTTGGGGCTGATGGCGTGTGCTGGGTGGGCTTGTCCCAACCCAGGCTGCGGGCCGGGCCTTGTTACCTGACGCGTGTCTCTTGTGTCTTGAGTCTGTGCTTTGGGTCCTTGGAGGTCCTAGAAGGACCTGGCTGGAGAATGTGAACAGTTTAGAGAACGCATCACCTCTTTGAGGAGACCCATTCGGGGCTGCCTCGCTCCTGGCGACCCTCTGGACCCCAGCGGTGTAGTCGGGGTGGGCACAGTGCCTGCTCTAGGGCTTGCATTTCTGAGCTGAAGACTCCGGATCAGCGATCGTGTCTCCTGGGCTCAGTGTAGTTGGGTCACGTGGTCCGCCGTCAACGCTGAGCGTGACCCCAAGTGCTTTAAGACTGAAGGGGTTTCCTGCCTCTCCGACCAGAGACATTTTTACATGGGCCCAGTACACAAGTGTGTGTCAGATGGAACCGGTCTTTCCTGGAGCAGTCCTTGCTCGCATTGCCTTCATTCCCACCTCCTGCCACAGTGGTGGGTCATGGCCTGCGCTGGGGGGCACCCGCTGCCAGGCACACCACTGGCTATGTGGGTGCCAGCCTGGGCAGGGCTGGCCCAGCCAGGCCCGCATCTGAGCTCCACCAGCCACCTCCTCTTTCCTCCCCCTGTGGAGTGGGGCCCGCAGGCCACTTCACGTTTGCTGTGTGTGTGGTAGGGGGCAGAGGGCGCACTGACGGGGCCTGGCGTGTGCTGGGACGCCTGCGCTTGGTCGAGAATGCCAAGTCAGGTGCTCGGTGGGAGACTTGCGTCCAAGGGGTCGGTGGGCAGAGGGTGAGTGAGCGGGGGCCGTGGGCAGTTTCCCCAGAGCTGGCGGTGCTCCTGGCCTGGAGGACTGTTTGGTGACGATGTGGTGTGGGGACAGCTCTCCGGAGGGACAGAGCTGTGAGTGGCAGGTGAGAGGCAGCAGTGGCTTCAGGCTGGCCCGGGCGAGAAGTAGCCGGTGCTGACGTGCCTGACTCGGAAGCTGGGCTAAGGGTTGAGGCCTCAGAGCCTTCAGCCCGATTCTTTCAACAGCAATTTGGGGTTTGGAAGCTCAGGTAGCGGTGTGTGGGGTACTCAGATCAAGTGTGGATGTGGTGCGGAGCCCCAGGAGGAGGCGGGCAGCAGGGCCTGGAGTGCCGTCACCCTGCCCTGAGGGCCGGTGTCCGAGAGGTGTGTGTGTGTGTCCTTACATTTCTAGCTGTCGCGTGAGAGGAGCAACAGGAAAGTGTGGCCGAGGCCCCGGGACGAGTGTTTAGTCCTGGAGCTTGAGGACCAGCCAGCCCGCAGCCCTTCGAGGCCCCCGGGCCTTGGCTGGATGCCGCTGTGGGGGTTGGAGAGAAGCAGGTGCCGCCAAAGTTCAGGGCCGGGTCACTGACCCTCGTCAACTTCGTGTTCCCTGTCAGGTGATGCTGTGTAACCCCATCTGCGGCGTGGGCTACGCCCTGACCGTGTGGCGATTCTTCCGGGATCGCACGGAGGAGGAGGAGATCTCGCTCATCCACTTTTTCGGAGAGGAGTACCTGGAGTACAAGAAGCGGGTGCCCACGGGCCTGCCTTTCATAAAGGGGGTCAAGGTGGAGCTGTGACGGCCGGGGCGGCCGGGCCGGGCCGAGGGCCCCACACCACGCAGCCGGGACGGAGCCGCCTCCAGTCGCCACCCGCAGAATGGATTTCCTTAATCATTTTGTATGTCACCAATTACGCTTCTGGGACGTTGTTCAAGACCCGAAGGTCGGGAGGCCTTAGGACTAAAGGGCTGCTCCCCACGCCCCCCGCGGAGCAGTCTGTGCTGGGGCCGAATCAAGGTAGGACCGAGATGAAAGCCGAACCGGGAGCAGGTCACAGGAGATCAGCAGCGAACCGCCGGAGCGCCCTGGGGGGAGCTGGGCCTCGTGCCGCCCCCCACGAGCACCAAGCGGGAGGATGTGACCCCAGCCCTCGGGAGAGGCGGCCGCGCTCACATGGAGAGGATGCAGGCAGGGGTGTGGGCGTCCATGCTCCCGAGCGTGAGAGACGCATCCAGAACCTTTCATTTAAAAGAAAAACGCAAACAGCAGCTTTAACCTCTTTATTTCTGTCCTAAGTGCATGACATCTGTGGACATCCTCAGCCGCCTCCCTCGAAGACGCCCCGGCCCTCGCCTGTGTAAGCGCGTTTGTATGTCTTTTGTTAATCAGCAGCCATAGGAATCGAGAGGGGAGCCCCGTTACCGCAGCCCGGGCTTGGGTCTGGCAGAAAGGGCGCTTGGGCCCCTCAAGGCCATCTGTCCGCGGTCACCAGAGTGCCCCAGGCCAGAGAGGCGGAGGCCGTAGTGGCTCTCAGCTCCCGCCCGCCTCCCAGGAGGGGCTGGTAGCAGGGACAGGCCTCGCAAAGGGGTCGATTTCCCTTGATCTAAGAAGTTCTTGGAGACAGCAGTAGACGCAGACTGCTCTCCAGTCACTGGGGCTTGCTTCTTTTGCCACAGCTTATATTTTTGTGTTCAGTTCACATCTATTGGCGGTTGGCCGCTGTGTTCTGTTCTCGAAGCCCCATCACCCCCCACGCCTGCCCGCTGGCCTGAAGGCCGGCCCCCAGGCAGCCGCAGAGCCCCAGCGAGCCGGCTCGCGAGTCTTACGTAGTGCAGGTGGTCCCAGCGGAGGCTCAGGCCATGTTTTTGTTCAGGTTTGGGGGAGCGGTTGACCCCGCGTCACATGGGCTTCCAGGCCCTTGTCTGACTCCGGGCCAGACAGGAAGTCGGGCTCGGCGTGAAAATCTCCCGTGAGGTTTTGCGGTGGCACCGCTGAGGTGTGACCCTGGTCCGGCCCAGCCCGGCGCCAGGCCCCCCTCGCCCCCGCCTGGCTCGGAGGAGCCGCCCACCTTTCCGTGCCTACGCCTCCCCATCTGTAGAATGGGGTCAATGCCACCTACCTCACAGGGGTGTCGCCAAGATGCAGGACAATGTCAGACATTTTGTTGCTTACCTGAGAGAGGACACGAATGAGGTCTGGACAGTGTATGAGTCTCATGACGTGGACAGACGTCTGCCTCCCTGTGCCAGAGGCCGGGATGCGTGTCCACTTTAAAGAGCACTTTGCCAACGCATCGATGCCGCTTATTTCTAGAGGTCACGGCCTAATTCATTGTTTCATTTTCATATATACCAAAGAGGTTTACGGGTTTGTTGACGGGCGGGACGTGGGGGGTGAGTACTGGTGGCACCCCCTGCCTGGCCTTGGGGCTGGGGCTGACCCAGTGCTGCCCCGGTCCTGCAGGCCTCCGTCAGTGAAGTCAGCCCTACACCCCCTAGGATTGCAGAGCGGGAGGGGAAGCTGGGCATGGCGGCCCTTCTGGCTCCCAGGATGGGTCTCTTGCCGCTGGCAGGACTGCCCCCTGCTCCCCGGGGCCAGGAGTCATCGCTAACCGACAACGAGAAGCTGCTCGGACGGAGAGCGTCTGGAGGTGTCCACACCGACTGCCGTGCTCCCTCCACCTGCCAGACGTCAGGAGGGCTGTCCTGCTGGGTCTGGGGCTCAGAATCGCAGCCTTAGGGTTTGGGAGGTGGGGCGAGGCTGCTCCCCCGCCTGGGGCTTGCTGCCCTGTGCTTGCTTTTAAGGCCTGGGCAGAAGGAAAACATTCCCACCCGAACTCGCGGTCGTGGCGGTGGAAGTCAGCAATTACTTCGGGCCAGCCAGCCGTGAGCTACTTGAGGGCAGGGCTGCGAGCCAGCCGGACTTCCTTCTCATACTGAGATCTTCAGATTATTTTTAACTCGATAAATTTAGCAGTGACCAGGTACGCAGCGGAGAATCAGGTTAATGAGGTACAGGCTTTTTGGGTATTCCGGGAAGCTTTTTGGGTAAAGGCCACGTTGCCAGTTCCCTCAAATTAAGAAACTGTCGAGAGATTTCTTTTTCCACGGCAGGGTGTAAGGTGGAGGAGGGTCTTCCCTGGGGAACGGGCGCGGCACGGGCCGGAGCTCCTTTGAGGCGGCATAACATGAAACAAACGTGTCGGGCGGGTTTGCGGGTGCTGAGGCCGGCGGTCACCTCAGAGAGGGGGCCAGGGCCCTGGCTGAAGCAGACGGGGTGGGCCCGGCATCCCTCTTCTGGTGTGAACTGCTTTTTGAGCCCACAAAGTGCACCGTCCTAGTCCCTTCCATTTATTTAACACTCGGGGGGTCGACCCTGGGGACTCAGCCCTAAGCCAGGGCGTCCTGTCGCGTCACGGACCGGGCCCTGCAGGGTGGCAGCCCCTCGGGAGCAGGCAGGCCGTGCTGTCCCCGACGCCCTCCCTGCGCCTTCGTAGTTGGCCTCCTCTGCTCAGTAGCCTCGCAGCCCTCTCTGGTGGGAGAGACCCACCCTGTGCCCCCCGAGGGCGGCGCCCGCAGGAGCGGGTCCCACTCGCTTGCTTTCCAGAAAGCCGCGCCCCGTAGCTAGGAGAGTAACTCAGATGGAGTGATTATTCTACTCTTCTTTATACATGCAAAAAATGTTTATTTAACTATTTTAAATTGGATTTTCTTTCACAGATACTGATTATTCTTTCCAATTCTTAAATAAAATGTACTTGATTTCACTATGAGCCACAATGTGATTGTGCGGGCCGTACAAACTCCAGAAGTGTCCAGAACCCACAGCGTGAAACTACTCTGTTCTGAATTCCTACCTTGCCCAGGCTGTGAGGAGCGCCCCCTCCTGCCCTTCCGGCCGCCGGGACTGCTGGCACGGACGCCTGGGCTCCTGCCTGCGGGCGGAACTCTGGGTTGTGTGGGTTCATTTTTTCTTTACCGTTTATTATGCCCCCCTTGAGAAGTGCGGTGCGGGCATGGAAGCCGCGAGAGGACGCCCTGGCATCCGCTCTGTCCGAGGGAGGTGAACTAGGACGGGGGAGCCCCTCCCTTTGCCTGGGCCAGTGCTCACTAGCCGGGTGGGGCTCCAGGGGCCGGGTAGGGAACAGGATTCCCGCAGGGGCAGGGCCTCGCAGGCACAGTCTTCTCTGAGTTGCACCGGGCTGAGCCGGGCCTGACTCTGGGTGTTGACTCAGGGCCTCCCGCCGCACCAGGAAGTTGCCCCACATCCCTCCCGGCAGACACTGCTACAGCCGGGGTTAGCAGAGCGCAGCCCGAGCCAGAGAGCCGGAAACGTGCACGCCAGAGCCTGCCTTTATTGAGAAAGGATTACCCTTCAAAAATTACCAAGAGGGGAACCGCCTCTCAAATGCCCCGGTGCTGGCATAAGGGGCCCCGTTTGCTAGGTCGGGGGCTCTCTCCAGGTGGAGACATCACCCCCATTTTTCTGCTTGGGTCTGTGATGACCTTTGCTTTTCGCCGATGGCTCCTCCGTGAGCTCCCGGCGCCCGGCTGGTTCCTCCAGGCTCTGATGTCGCCTCCTGTCTGCGACCCCGCTGGCTTCGCTCCTGAGGGAGGCCACCCTGATGTCACCAGGCCTCAGGGGCCCAGCACCAAGACCCCTGGGCCGGGGCTTTCGGATTCGGGAGTCTGGAAGGGCCCCTGCAGGTGCCGTGCTGGGCAGAACGACACCCTCTCCTGAAGGACTCTGAGCGCACGTGATGATTCCTAGTTACTGCCACGTCCCCAGTTTGGCTGTGGCGGGCCACCAGCTTCACGCTGACAGTCCCCTAGAGCTGCTGGGGGGACGGGCTGACCTCAGGTCCCCATCAGGACTCTACAGTGCAGACCCGGCCCTCCAGGCCCCAGCGCCGTGACTCAGGGGTGTCCCTGGTGAGATGCGGAAGGTCCGCCGCACCTCGGACGGACGTGCGGCCTCAAGCACGGTGGCCGCTGCCCTGGTAATTCTCGCCCACAAACAGGCCTGTGCCCTTGCTCACAGGTGGGTGTGGGTCCCCGGGTGTACGGAGGCCTGTCTGCCATGCTGGCTGCTCCCGCGGGCCGCGTGCGGCTGGCTATGGTGTAAGAAGGGCCTGTCTGGCCCTGGCCGCTTCTGCCCTCTCTGAGCCACTTGTAAGTCACACCCAGCCTCTGGCCCCGGGCAAGGCCCACCTGTGCACAAGGGCGGGGGAAGCTGGTCCTCGCCCTGCTTACCTGGCCTGGGCCTCGCCGCTCCTGCCGTCCTCCAGCAGGCTTGGCCGGTGCTCTGGCTGCTCCTCTGCGGGGGCCTGGAGCCTGCAAGGCAGCAAGCCCCAGGCCCTCAGGCGGCGAGTGGCCACCACCCGCCCAGCTCACCCAGCAAAGCCAAGCACTCGGCGCCCACGGGGACTCCGGCCCGGCCGTGACTACGGTGTGGACAAGAGTGCTCGGGCGGGAGCACTTCCGGTCGGGGACGCTGGGGTTGGAGGCTGAGCAGGCTGGGGTGGGCAGCGCGGGCCTGTTCCCACGGGGCCTGCTCCCACAGGGCGCTTTGGGAGGGCCTCTCTGCTGACAGTCACATGAGACGGGAGTGGGAAGGCGCCGTGGGACAATCTGAAGCAAGAACATTCCAGACAGAGGCCAGGAGGTGGGGCCCGCGTAGCTGCTCTGGGGACCCAAAGGCCCCTGTGGCGGGTGGGAGGGGAAGGGGCTGGCCGGCTGACCTCTGGAGCGGTGGGGCAGGGCTCGCACTGGGGCAGCAGTGGAGACAAAACCTGTGAACTAAGGAATCAAGTCAACAGGTCTGGGGTGCGTTGGAAATGGAGGTGAGAGAAGGAACCCAGATCCCCCCATACTTGGACACCTGTGTGGCTGTGAAGCCATTTCCTCTGGGGACACCTGAGAAACATGTTGGGGGAGAAAATCAAGCTCTGCGGGCTGTGCGGGGGGAGGTGCGGGGCACCGGGGAGGGGCAGTGGGATGACTGGAGCCGGGGAAGGACTGGTGGGGAGAGGGCTTGGGGGTGCTCTGCACGATAGGCCTTTAAAGCCAGGATGAGTGCGTGGAGGGCCAGCAGGGGGCGCAGCACAGGGCCCCCAAGGGAGGAGGCAAAGCCAGGCACTACCGGCTTTGTGGGATCCCCGGACAGCCCAGACCCAGGAGTGTGGCAGAGGGCCAGGGCGGCGGCCCCGGCGTAGCTGCGAGGTCGCTGGCGGCGGAAACTAGAGTGTGCCCTGTGGGTGGTTGGTGAGTGGGTGGGTGGAGAGGAAGCAGAAGGGGCAGCCTCAGACACCCGGGAAACTTGAAAGGGCTCTAAAGACCCTCTGCCCCAGGTCCCAGGAGGTGGGCTGGGCCTGAGCGCCCCCGCATTCGTGAAGCTAGGCACAGGCGCCACCTCCTGGCGGAGACGGGTCCGCCGGCACGGGTGTCGGGGCGGGTCGGGCTTCCTGACCCAGCTCCCTGCAGCTGAGCACAGAGTGGAAGTGCAGGGGGAGGAGCACAGTGGGTGTGTGCACATGGCGTGGGCAGCACCCAGAACATCACCTCCACCCAGAGGCCCCTCCGGATGTCACTCCCCCTGCTGCAAACAGCAGGGCGTAGTTCTGCCTGGCGCTGAGGTTTTATTTTTTTTTTTTTAAGATTTGTTTTATTTATTTATACAAGCACTGGGTACAGTCAGAAGCGCGGGAGGGTGAGAGAATTCACCAGAGCCAGAGCGGGGAGCAGAGCAGGCAGAAGGACCGAAGGACACTGCTGAGGGGAGCAGCGGGCGGCAGGAGAGGTCTGCGCACCATGGGGGACCCTCCTCCGTGGCCGGGGAGCAGCCGGGGATCGAACCGGCGCTGCAGAGGCAGCGGGCAGCCTCACAACCCAGCGTTCAACCGCTGTGGCGCTGAGGTTTTATAAATAGAACCACACCGTGTCTGTAGTTAGTGCGCTGAATGCCAGCCCGGGAGGGAACCCTGCAGCCAGACCCGCGTAGCCGGGGCTTCATCGAAACTGCGCAAGCGACGCCGAGCTGAGCCTCTCGGTGTGATGGGGCAACACAGCCACGCGGCCCAGAGCTCTGGCTGAGCGTGGTGACCGCACACGCCCTCTCTAACATTCCCTCCCCAAGCTCACTAAGACTTCCGTAAAGGGATCTGGACATCAGGGGAACAACTTGCCAGGGTCACAACAGGAGAGGGTAACACCAGAATTTGGCGGGCTGGAGAGAACGTGGTGAGGGTAACTAATTGTGAGCAGCCCCAAGAAACCTGTTGAGGGTCTCCCTGTTGGCACAGGGGTTAAAGGAGCTATCAAGCTACTGCCGGCCTCTGCAGCACGAGTTCGATCCGCGTCCGGCCAGGGAGCTACCCACATGGCGCAGCAGACCTCTCCTGTCTCGCCTGCTGCTCCCCTCAGCAGTGGATTTTGGTCCATCTGTCTGTTCTGCTCCCTGCTCTGTCTCTGGGGAATCCTCTCACCTCCCGCACCTCTGGCTTACACCCCAGTTCTTGTATGCATAAATAAATAAACCTTTAAAAAAAAAACCTTAAAAAAAAATAAACCTTAAAAAATCTCCAATCTCTTGTCCACACCATAGTCACGGCCGGGCAAAGCCCAGGAGTGAGACCAGTGGAATCCCCAGGGTGGTTGTGGAGGGAGACCTGCAGGTCCACCCTGGCTGGGGTCAGCTCCCTGGCAGGGGATCGAACTCAGGCCCTGGTGGTGACAGCTTGATAGCGCTGAGACTTAACCCTGCACCACCAGGTAGGCCAAGAAAAACTTGGGAGCCTCCCTGGTGGTTCAGGGTTAAATCTCAGTGCTATCAAGCTGTCACCAGCCACTGAGGCCTGAGTTTGAGACCCGGCCACAGGGCGCAGCAGGCCTCTCTTGTCCCCCCGCTGCTCCCCCAGCAGTGTATTTCAGTCAGTCCGCCTGTTCTGCTCCCCACTCTGTCTCTGGTGAGTCCACTCACCCCTGCACCTCTGGCCTGCACCCCAGCTCTTGTATGCATAAAGAAAAAAAAAAAAGAAACACGGAGCAGCTCACACACTCACTGCTATTGCTTGTGGCTGGCACCTGGCACACCCAGATGCCCAGGTGAAACCCCTGCTGACCCGCTGCCTGCCCTGGAGGGCCCTTCCCCACAACATCCGGTGTTCTGCTCCCCTGGGGACACTCCCGGATCTCACCTGGGCTCCAGCCGCTCCTTCACCTTGGCAATGGAGCGGACATAGGGCGTGATCTGCTTGGTGATGGTGGTCAGGTAGGCATTCTCCTGTTTCAGCTGGAGAAGGTCATGGAGCTGGGCTGTGGGGTCAAGGCCTAGAGTGTTAGGTCTTGGCTTCAAACTCCCACACTGACCCCACACCCTCTCAAGGCGCTATTTCAGCAGCGACCTCTGAGAGTCGTGAGGACGTCCTGCTTGCTGGATCCTGCCCCAGATGCGTCGGTTGGAAGCCAGTTAGCCGCTGTGAGGCCAAGCCAAGCGCGAGGGGAGCGTGGGGGACGCACACGGGTTAGTGGGTAGCTGACGCCTGCCTCCGCCAGCACGTGCGTTAGCTCCAGGACAGGGGTCCCCAGAGAGGGCCCGGGACCTTCGTAAATCTCCTGCTCATTGGCCACTCGCTGGTAGGACTCCTCCCAGATCTGAAAGACAGGAAGGTGGTCATTGCCCTGGACGCTGAGCGGCCACTCAGGCACGCCCTCCCCCCGCCCCCAGACGTTCGCACGCTTCCAGAACCTACCACCAGAGGGCCTCGGCGGGCGCCAGGTTCCCTCCCCCGGCCGCGCGCCCGGAGCCGGGTTCGGGGCCGCTCACCTCCTGGAAGAGCGCGCGCATGCCCTCCACGCACGCGTGCTCCGCGGCGATCTGCGCGTCCAGCTGCAGGGCCTTGCGCAGAATGTCCCCCATGATCTCGGCCTTGATGAGCGAGTGGTGCCTGGTGAGGTCGCGGTGCAGCTCCTGCACCTGGTCCTTCAGGTTCTGCATCTCAGCCTGCAGGCGCTGCGCGAGGGGCGAGAGCCGGGCGGCTGCAGGGGCCGCTCCCGGGCCGGTAACTGGGCAGCCAGGCCGGCCAGTCCCTCCGAGGGGGCTGAGGCCCCTCCCGGCCCGCAGGGCCCGCCCCTCACCTGGTAGGAGCCCTCGTAGTGGCGGCAGTGCTCCGCGAAGGGTGTGTCCTCGCCCTCGGCCAGCAGCACCTTGGTGCTGATGGACCGGTGCGGCGTGGGCTTCTGGACGGGTGACCCCAACATCTTTCCCACCGGGGAAGGGCAGCCAGGCCCCATGAGCACCTTGGGGCCTGGGCCCCCTGCTAACCTGGGAAGGGCCAGATGTGGGGGTTGGGAGGGCCTGCCCCCGCCCCTTCCCCTACATTGTGCGCACATCTGGCCAGTGGCACCAAAGCCAGTGACATCAGCACGGAGCTTGTGAGTCTTCCCAAGTAGGGCGATGTCCCTGCCGAAAGGTGCATGGGGGTGCCCTCGCGGCCCAGTCTCCCTGGGGTGCCCTGGGTGAATCAGGTCAGGCATTTCTCCCAACGGGTGGGGAGTCTCCAGCGCTCCAGACTAGGCACCCCATCTACCCCTTCCCTTCAGGCCTGACGTGTCCCAGCAGGTCATGAGGGCTCCAGCCCCAAGGTCTGGGGGGTGCAGCCCTTGTGTCCTCTCCTGGCCGACCTCCACTCTGGTTCAGCCACAGCTTTCGACCCCGGGGATCCCCTGTGCTCACTTCCGTGCTGGCCAGGGGGCACTCACTCTCCTGCGTGGCCACCGCTGGCGGCCAGAAGCAGCAGCTTAGGGAGCTTGGGGAGCTGGCAGGGGCCGCTTAGTGGCACCCACCCCACCAGGACCTGGTATCCGCTGCCCCCCCAGTCCCCCCTTGCTGCTCACGTGTTGGTGCCGCCACTGGCCCCTGGTGCCCGACGCCCCAGCAGCAGCAGTGGCTCCAAGCAGCGCGCGAACTCGGCGTGGTGGTCGCTGGAAATCTGGGCAGGGGAGGGTGGTGAGGCAGCCTCCCAGCCCAGCCCGCCCGCCCGCCGGTCCCCCAGCTCACCTTGCTGCTCTGTGCGGGCCGGAGGCGATGTGGCCGCGTGACGACGCCCTGCAGCCTCTGGATGAGCTCCTGGGCATGGGAGGCAGGCTGTGGGGACTCAGCTCGGGTCATGGGGGAGGGGGGATGTGGGGGGAGGCCCAAGGGGCACGGCCCAGAACCCCCACCCCACCCCACCCCGCACACCCAAATCTAAAGGACGGGTAGGGGTGCCAGGCTCCAGGGGACACTGCACTTGCGGGGAGCCAGAGCTTGCTGCCCTTTTAACATAGACTCAGTTGTCCCTAAAGGGTGTGTAGTTAGATGCTGGCGTGGAGGGTTGGAGACGGCCAGCACCCCCCAGGCCAGCCTCCAGGTGGCAGGCTGTGGTGCCCGCCTGGTGGGGAGGCCCAGCAGGAGGCCAAGACTCACGTATCCCAGGTCCAGGAACTCGGCCTTGTTGGCCAAGCTGAGGAAGGAAGAGCAGATGACCAGGTGGACCTGTGAGGGGGACCCTGCTCAGTGCCTGGCCCGTGGGAGCGGCCTCTGGGCTCGGGTGCCAGGCCCCAAACCCACTGCCCTCACCTGCAGGGTGGGCAGCAGAGTGGCCAAGTGGGACAGCTGCTCCTTGAAGGCCTTGTCCTTCTCTTCGTACTGGCTGGGGAGGGACAGGCATCTTGTCTCAAGGGGAGGGCTGCCCCCCCCAGGGAGCTCAGAATTGCGTGATTCTGTCTCCCCCCCTTTGGCGGTTGTCCCTGTCACCCCTTCCCGTTTCCTGAGCCCCTCCCCTGCTCAGCAGGCGGACACCTGCGTGCTCCCAGGAAGGGCGAGGACTGCCCCGCCCAGCGAGCCAGCGGGCCCGCCGCACTCACCTCTGCACAGCCTGCAGCAGCAGGTCCTTCCTCTCAGCCAGCTTGTCCTGGAGGCAGAGTCAGCTCCCAGGGGCGCGGCCCTGCCCCTCCCGGCCCCCCTCATCCCCCCTCCCCCGCAGCCAGTCTTCCCCGACCAGCCAGCCCTGCCCAGGAGCAGGGGCCTCCCTCAGCCTGTCCCTGTCGAGTCCCTTAAAGGTCACTTCCCGCGGGGCGTCTTCCCTGAGTCCCCCCAGACCGGCACCCGCCTAGGGCTGGCCCTGGCTCCCCTCTGCCTCTCCGTGCCCCGCGCCTGGGGGTGACGGCTGAGGGTGCTCCCCTGCCCGGTGCCCTCTCCCCGCCCCTCACCTGCACGCTGCCGAAAAGCGCGTGGATGGCGGCCTCCTCGTCCGCGGCGCTGCGCCGCACCTCCTCCACGCGGGCGCGCAGCAGCGCCATGGCCTCGCGCGCGGCCGTCTGCAGCGCCTTCACGTCCTGGGGACCAGGCGGCTCAGCCCCGTGGGGGCGCGCGCCTCACCCCCGGGCCGGCCCCGGAGCTCACCAGCACCGCCTGCTCCAGCCGCTCGCAGCCCTGCACGTAGGCGGACTCCAGGTCCACGCAGTGCGCGCGGCTCTCCCTGCGGGGGCGCGCGGTGAGCCTCGCCCTCGCGCGCCCCGCGCCGCCCCTGCGCGCCCCCCGGGGCTCCCTCACCCCTGCATGTCGCGGAAGCAGCGGATGCACAGCAGCGACCTCTTGTCGGCGGAGAACATGATGTAGGGCTCGGCGTGCAGCGCTGCGGGCGGCGGGCGGGCGGGTGAGGCGCGGGCAGCTCCCGCGGCCCCCCCCCCCACCCCGCGCCGGGACCCCGGGCGCACTCACGGCACTTCTGGAGCACGTCGCGGCTGCGCTGGCCCAGGGCCACGATGTCGTGGCGCGCGAACATGCGCGCCCGGTGCGTCTCGTCGCGGCAGCGCGCGCACAGCGGCTGCCCGCACGTGTTGCAGAAGTAGGTGGGCTCCGCGTCCTGCGGGCAGAGCGGGGCTCAGCCAGCCCGGCCGCCCGCGGGAGCTGCACCCCCAGTCGTCCCCTGCGTGGCAGCCCCGGCCTGCCCGGCGCAGGTGGCGCCAAAGGCAGCCCCTTGGCAGAATCCCGGCCAGCCCCGTCCACCCAGCTGGCAGGTGCCGACAGCGGGGGCCGGAGAGTAGGAGGCGGGTCCAGCTAGGAGCAGACTGGGAATGGGGGAGGGGGGGCCCCGTGGGAGGGAGAGAGGACAGAGACGTTACTGGGACAACATTTCACCTCCTACAAAAGTGCTTGAAGGGCTCAGGGCCCGCAGCCCTCCTTGGCACCCTCCATCGTGGCCAAATGGTAGTGCCCCCCTTGCCGTCTGGGAGGGGAGAGGGTGTGAGGGGCTGTGGGTTCCCTTTGCAGGCCAAGCACAAGCCCTAAGTCCTTACTTTGGCATTCCAGTCCGCCTCCTCCCCTGCCCCCAGCTCCTCACCTCCTGCTGCTGATCTCTGAATTTCTGGGTCACATATACTCCAGCACCCCCAAGTTTCTCCTGCAGGATCAGCTTCCTGGGATTCCATATACCCACAGGCCCAAGGCCGGTGTGCTCCTTGCAGCCCAGCCCGAAGCCTGGCCTCGCCACTCCTTGGCCTTCCCTGGACTGTCCTCCCCAATGGCTCGCTGTCCTCGCTTCCCCTGGAGCTGTGGGGAGCTGCTTATCGCTGCCCAGGGAACAGCGAGTCCTCCAGGGCTGGCCCAGCCCTGTGCCTGGACCACCTTTACTGTGCAGGTCACAACTCTGTCCTGAGCTGGGAACTAGCAAACGCTCCCCAAAGCTAATGACCTTAATGTAACATCTCCACTCTCTGGAATTGAGGGGCCCCACACTGGGAGCCCAGGGTGCTTAGGGAGATGCTGGAAAATCTGCTAAGGGCCAAGACTGTGTTGGACACACACTGCAAGTCTGGCACCGCACCGGGCCCCCCCCCCAGCGTCCCTGCCTGCTTGGTGCACTCCAGGTCACAGTTGGCACAGTGCACCACCTCCGTGCCATCCCCGGAGCTGTCCACCAGGAACTGCAGCAGTCGGTCCACTGGGGGGAGCCCGCCCGGGCCCTTCACCACCGTCTGGTGCCTGTGGAGACGCTGCAGCCAAATCCAGATGCCCCTTCTCCGTGGCTCCTGCCCCATTCCCACCCCCCACATTCCAGAAACTAAAAATAGTTAGGGGTGGCCTGGCATCTGCTATAAATATCTCAGCCCATGGCTCCCACCACCCCTCCCCCAGCCCAGTTCTGGGCAAATCCTGGAAGGCTGGGGGGCTGGGGACCCCCACTCCCTGCAAGTCCCCTCACATATCGATTAGGGTCACCCCACTGCACCCCCTATCTTGAGTAGGTATAATGTGCTTATGTTGCTCTAAGGGTCCCCAGGTGAGCTGGGGGAGTGTCCTGGTACTGTCCTGAGATCCTGGCCCAGCCCTGCCCTGGCCCCCTGATGTCTGGGGTGGGGGCTCTTGGGCCCTAACCCGGGCCTCAGCCAGTGTGATCTGCACAAGGGGCAGAGGTCCTGGTTCTGATTGGGAGAGGGGAGTCTGGGGGCCGCCCCTCCCAGCCCTCAACTGAGAAGGGGCCCAGCTTTGCCCTCTTTGTGCGCGTCAAGGCCCCACCCTGGCTGAGCCCGCGGGGCTGGGGGCGCGCGGCGGTCTTGGGGCGGGTCGGGCACTCACTGGCACAGCGGGCAGAGCAGGCGGCCGTCGGCGACGCGGCCGCGCAGGCAGCCGGCGCAGAAGTCGTGGAAGCAGTCGAGCAGGCACGGGCGCTCGTACTGCGCGTGGCACAGCGGGCACACGAGCGGGTGGCCGCTCAGGGCGTCCAGGGCGCCGGGGCCCTCGGCGGGCGCGAAGATCGCCCCCGACATGGGCGGGGTGGCGGGAGGCCGCTGGGGCGCGCACGGTACCCGCCAGCGCCCGCCTTCCAGGCCCGGCTCCCTCCTGCCGCTCCTGCGCGGACTCCGGCGGCGCCCGGCGGGGTGGACAGCGGCGCTGGGAAGTGGCTGGGGGTGTCGGGGCCTGGGAGCGGGGTCGCCCCGCCGCGAGGCGAGGGGAGGGGCCGGGGCTGCGCCCACCCACCAGCCGCTCCGCTCCAGCCGCTCCCCTCCTGCCTCCCGCGGCGGGCGGAGGCCCCAGGCTTCCACCCAGCGCCCCGCCCCGCCTCTCCCGCCGTGCCCGCCCCCCTCCTCTGAGTTCCCGTCGGGCGTCCTCTGGGCGCCCCGCGGGCGACACCCCCATCCCCGCGCCGGGCGCACCGCTCGGGCGCTGCTCGGGGGCACCTTCCCCGGCCGGCCGGGGGCGCGCGGGGGGCCGCTGCCTGCGCCGGGGTCGAGACGCGCTGCCCCGGGGCTCGGGCCACCGCGGGAGGAGACGCCGGAGCGCGCGCAGAGAGGACGGTGCGCGAGGGTCAGCGCGGCCGGGACCAGCCCGGGTGACGGCCCCGCGCAGCTCTGGGGGTGGCAGGAGCCCGCGAGGCAGGAGCGGAGGACCCGGGCTGCGAGGTCCGGGGTGTCCAGTGTCCCGACCCAGGCTCACCCTCGCGGCCCTGGGTCAGGGTCCGGGTGGGTCCCGCGGCCCCATTTCCTGAACCGCAGGTCGCGGGCTGGGGAGCCCCAGACGCGGCGGGGCAGGCCCCTGCGTGCTTGGGGGGCTGGGGGTACTGAGCGCGCCTGGGCGGGGGGCCTTGGGCTGGTTGAAGCTCAGTGCCTGGTTCTCGGAGCCTCAGAGCTTGGGTGGGACAGGCCACTGCGGGCCAGGGGAGCCGGCAGGGGAGTAACACAGGACAGGGCGGGCATCGGGGCCTGGCACCCAGACGTCCGGCTCCTCTTCTCCAGAGGTCTCTCTCCTCTCCTCTCCTCGGTCAGGTCCCCAAAAGGGCAGGGTGGGGAGAGCCTGCGGGCCCTCCAGTGGGGCCTGCTTTGTTGGTGACCCCGAGAAGCAGCCCCGTGTTATTTCCGCAGAGTACCCGCCTTCCTTATGCCAACCTGTCTTCTTTCTCCGCCTGTTGAGCTGAGCTCAGGGAGAGCAGCCCCTGTCTTGGCTCCTCAGAAAACACAGATCCAAGTCCAGAGCCTGATGGGTAGAACATGCACAGCAGTGGCTGACTAACCGGTTACGAAAGAAACTAGGAGGCAGCCCTCCCTGGTGGCACAAGGGGTTAAGTGTCAGCACTATGAAGCTATCAGCAGCCACTGCAGCCTGAGTTCCATCCCCCACCAGGGAGCTACCCACATGGCTCAGCAGACCTCTCCTGTCTCCCTGCTGCTCCCCTCCGCAGTGTATTTCAGTCACTCTGCCTGTTCTGTCTCTGGTGAATCCTCTCACCCCCCCCCACACACACCTCTGGCCTGTACCCCAGCTCTTGTTTACATAAATAAATAATTTTTTTTTAAAAAAGAAAAAAACTAGGAGGTTATTTGAGCTGTTTTTTATAAAAATGTTTATTTATACATACAAGAACTGGGGTATAGGCCAGAGGTGTGGGGGGTGAGAGGACTCCCCATAGACAGAGCAGGGAACAGGCCAGGCAGATTGACTGAAATACACTGCTGAGGGGAGCAGCAGGCTAGTCAGGAGAGGTCTACTGTGCGATGTGGGTAGCTCCCTGGCCGGAAATTGAACTTGTGCTGCAGTGGCTGTGGATATGTTCACAGATTGCGTTTTAACCTCTTGTGCCACAAGGGAGGCCCCATAGTGCTGCGTCTTAACCCCTTGTGCCACCAGGGAGACCCCTGAGCTGGGTTTTGAAGGATGAGTAAGAGTTTGCCCATAGGACATGAATTCTAGGCAGACACTACCTGTTCTTTTATTTACTTATTTGTGTAGAAGAACTGGGGTGTAGGCCAGAGGTGCAGGGGGTGAGAGGATTCACCAGAGACAGCATGGGAAGCAGAACAGGTGGATTGACTGAAATGCACTGCTGAGGGGAGCAGCAGGGAGACAGGAGAGTCTGCAGTGCCATGTGGGTAGCTCCCTGGCCAGGTGGGGAATCAAACTTGTGCTGCAGTAGCTGTGGATAGCTTCATAGCGCTTCACCCATTGCACCACCAGGGAGGCCCCTTCAAATAGACTTTAATGTAAAGGATTGTTAGCTAGGTACAAGACTGGCAAACTTGGTAATAATGGAAGGGGTGCAGTAAGAAAAGTGGCACCTAAGGGAAGCTGGTAACATTTCTAGGGTGGTATTAAGATGTTGAAGTTTGAGGAAGGGAATCCCTCAAGGAGAGGCCGGGGCTAGAGTCTGTAGGGGAACAAAATGAATCTGAGTCCAGTTCTTCAGTGTTGTAATAACTGCACACTGGATTCAGCTGCTGCTTCGGGAATGTTCCAACTACCATGAACAGGATGAAGAAGCAAGAGTGAGCCACATGACTGAGTGGGAACAAGTAGGAAGAAGACTCTTTTTCCTTCTCCAGTCTTGCCCCCAATTGAAAGCACTAAGCAGCGGCAGCCGGTGGAGCAGAAATGGGGTTTGCAGTCCAGAGGCGGCGTGGGTTTGGAGCTCGGCCAACCGATGCAGGACACCTGAGTTTAAACCCACGCCTCTCAGCCTGGGGTGTTGCCTTCGATTATAAGCTAGGACCGGGTCCCTAGATGAGGACACGGAGGCCAGGTGAGGACCCTGGAGCCAGTACCGGGGAAGGAAGGCGTTTTCTGCCAAGTGATCACAGCCTGGGATGGACCTGCGAGTGACCGGTGAGGGTGGGAGGCCAAGGCCCTGGGACGAGAACTCAACTGAGTGGCAGCAGCAAGAGCAGCGCCTGGGAGTGCCAGAGGAGCAAAACCTCGGGCAGGGGAGGACTCCTTGCCACTTGTGGGGGAGGCTCTAACAGAAGAGTTTTTGGAACTGGGGGCCGGGGGCGGGCCTGGGGTGCGAGGGGGGGGTCTGGGTTGCGGGTGGTGGGCCTGGGGTGCGGGGGGGACCTGGGGTGCGGGCGGCGTGCCTGGAGTGCGTGTGGGCGGCCTGGGGTGCGTGCGGGGAGGGCCTGGGGTGCGGGGGGGTCTGGGTGCGGGCGGGGGGCCTGGGGTGCGTGCGGGGAGTCTGGGGTGCGGGGGAGCCTGGGGTGCGTGCGGGGAGTCTGGGGTGCGGGGGAGCCTGGGGTGCGGGCGGGCGGCCTGGGGTGCGGGAGGCGCCGGCCGGGCACCAAGTGCAGCCCGAGGCCGCGCCGCGGGGACCCGCTTCCGGCCCGGCCCAGCCGGCGGGCGCCGTGCGGCTCAGCGATGCTCCTCGCCCCTCCCCAAGACCCTCCCGAGCACGGCGCCCCCGCCCCTCCTCCTGGGGCGCCCGGCGGCGGCCCCGCGGCCACGCGCGCAGGGACAGCCCGCCCGCCGCCCGCGGGCCCGAGAGGGGACCACTCCGCGCCCAGGCAAAGCCAATCGCTCCCCGAGCGCACAGAACGGGGGCCGGGGCGGCGACCGAGGGGCGTGGCCGGGCGATTGCTCCGGCCTGACCCGTGCGTGCCCCGCGCACGGCGAGCTCTTCGCGTCTGCGCAGTGCGCCCCGCTCCCTTTCTGCCTCCGCTGCCGCCATGGCGCCTGTGGTCAGTACGGCTCCGCGTGCGGCCCGGCCGCGGGGAAGCACGTGCGCCGCGGGCCGGCTCCCGCCCGCGCTCGCGGGGGCCCGCGCTCCCCGCGTCCGGCCCGGCCGGGCTGGCGGGACGGCCGGGGCGGGCCGGGGCGCTGCCGGGCTCGGCACGTTGCGGCGGAGGAGGCCGCGGCCTGGGCCGGGGAGGGAGACGCGGGGCCCGCGGGGGCCGGCGCGGGTGGGGGCCGCGCGGGCTGCGGCCGGGGCGCGCCCCGGAGCCCGGCCGGTGTGCGGCAGCCCGCGGCCGGGCCCGGCTCCCTCGGGGAGGCGGGGGAAGCGGGGGGGCCGCGCTCTCGGGGGCCGCGCCCGGGGGCCTGGCCGGCGCGTCGTCGGAGGGAGGCCGGCCCGGACGCCCCGATGGGCCACCCGGGCGGAGGGCGGGGAAGCACAGGGGTCCGGTCCCCTTTGGGTGTCGCGCTCGGAGGAGCCTGGGGCCGGGGCCCGGGAGCGGGGGCGAGGCCGGCGGAGGCGGCCGGACCTGCGGGTCTGCGGGGGCCGGGGCTCGAGCACCCTGGAGAGTCCCCGGAGGGCCTTCGCCCCCCGGGCTCCTCGGTGCGGGCCGCGTTTGGCACCGGCCAAGGGCCGGCGCCTTCTCAGCCGGGGGCCCGCGCCGCCTGCGCCCGCCCGCCGCTCCGCTGGCAGGTTGCTCGCCGGGTTCCCAGGAGGAAGGAGTTGCCTCCTCTCAGGGGTTGGGACACCTTTATTAGCATTTCGCTTCCCCCGCTGTTCTGCCCGGGGGTCTTTGAGTGCGTCTGTGCATTTGTATGCTTTTGGGTGAAAACCTTGGCAGGAGGTTTCAGCGCCGTTGTGGGCAGGTCTTTTACTCGCTGATGGTGTATTTCCGGGGCCAGATCTTCTCGGAGCCCTTTTGGTGGTTACTAGGAAAAACACATCTTAGGGTGAACAAAAATACGTGTGATTTTGATGGTAGCTAAATGTTTGAAAATGGACCCAATTAATAATTTAGATGAATTTTTTTAAACATAAAGGGAAGGGACTTAAGACGTGTTCTTGAAAGGTCTTTTTAGATTCTGCAAAACATTTTAAAGTGGAAACTCAGGTAAGTAGGTTGGACAAGTGTCTTTTTTAAGATTTTTTTTTTTTAAGATTATACAAGCCTGGGGTACAGGCCAGAGGCGCAGGAGGGTGAGAGAATTCACCGGAGACAGAGCAGGGAGCAGAACAGGCAGAAGGACCAAAGTGCGCTGCTGAGGGGAGCAGCGGGCGAGACAGGAGAGGTCTGCCGCTCCATGTGGGAATCTCCCAGACTGGCCGGGAATTGAACTGGTGCTGCAGAGGCTGTGGACAGCTTCACAGCACTGCGCTCAACCCCCTGCTCCACCAGGGGGGGCCCCCCTTTTTTTAAGATTTATTTATGTATGCGAGAACTGGGGTACAGGCCAGAGGTGTGGGGGGGTGAGAGGATTCACCAGAGACCGAGTGGGGAACAGAACAGGCAGACTGACTGAAATACACTGCTGAGGGGAGCAGTGAGGAGACAGGAGAGGTCTGTTGAGCCATGTGGGTAGCTCCCTGGCCGGTGGGATCCAGCTTGTGCTGCAGTGGCCGCGGCTGGCTTTATAGGTTGCGTCTTATCCCCTTGCGCCATCAGGGAGGACCCTGGACAAGTGCTTTTTAATGGTGTTGGCGTCTGTAGAGGTAAACGAATCAGCTGTTTGGTGAGCATCAAGGAACTGGTACCTTGCATGGTGTGCTTAAACATGGTGTGCTTGTTCGAGGGAAAAGGAGGGCCTGAACAAACTCCACAAATAGGTTTTATGGACCTCACCCCCACCCCAGACCAAAGAGGTCCCAGACACCAAGGACAACAAATCCCATCATGTCCATCCCCACCGAAGGGAGGATGCTGGGAACTGGGGGTGGAGTTAAGTAGCCAGGCTTGGTGCATAACCAGACATGTGGGCCTTGGGGGGGGAGGTCCTTGGTTTTTTGACAGCTTTCAGCGGGCTTTTGAGGTTCCCGCTCAGCGGAACTGGTAGGACGCAGTCACCAGTTCATCTCTCCCTGGGTTATTTCTTCATTTCCCTTTTTTCCTGGTAAATAAATCCTTTATTACCCTTTTTGTGGGTGCTTACTGAGTCTCCTAAGTCCCTTTTTTTTAAGATTATACAAACACTGGAGTACAGGCCAGAGGTGTGGGAGGGAGAGAATTCACCAGAGACAGAACAGGGAACAGAACAGGCAGAAGGACCGAAGTACACTGCTGAGGGGAGCAGCGGGGAGACAGGAGAGGTCTGCCACGCCGTGTGGGAATCTCCCTGGCCGGAGAGGACCCACAGTCCGGCCAGCCCATTTCACATTGGGGTTGTCCTGTAACAGTTTGAAAGTGCTTAGCCACACATTAAATCAGTCAAGGCCAGAAACTGTGATAGTATAATTAAAACCCAGTTTTTATTTTTATTATTTTTAAAGATTTATTTATGCTTACAAGGACTGGGGGACAGGCCAGAGGTGTGGGGGTGAGAGGATTCCCTCACTCTGAGACAGAGTGGGGAGCAGAACAGGCAGACGGACTGAAATACACTGCTGAGAGGAGCAGCGGGTGAGACAGGAGAGGGCTGCTGTGTTGTGGGTCAGCTCCCTGGCCGGCTGGGGGTTGTGTTCATGCTGCAGAGGCTGCGGATAGCTTCACAGTGCTGTGCTTAAACCCTTGCGCCACCAGGGAGGCCCACAACCCAGTGTTTAGCTTCACCTCTTTTCCTCAGTGGACTTGGTGTTAGGGTATAAGTAAATACAGGTTTGCCATTGATCTAGAAGGTAGGTGACTCAGGATTGAGGGAGAGAGCAAAGCTGGATCAGGACCCTATATGGGGGCTAAGAAACAAGTCTTGATTTTTAGAGTAAAATTGTTGCAGGTGTACAAGGCATTTGGGATGCCGTAAATCTGGGATAAAATGAGTATTTCTTGGAACTTTGGTTTGGAAACTCAGGCATACAAAAGCAAACGTGCAGCTTATTATGCCTCAGAAGCTAACAGGCCTTCCGGCTGAGAGAGATTGGGGCGACTAGAGGGCGCCTGTGAGTCAGGAGAGCATGACCCCAGCCCTCCAAGCGCTAGGTGCTACACCCCCCACCCCCCTCAGGCAGGGCACAGCGCAGGGCACAGTAGGCTGGCTCTTGCAGTGCTTGAAGGGGAGCGCAGCGGATGGGTTTGCATTTGATGGGCTTTGGTTCTGGTAAATGTGTTTCGGACTGGCGGTGCCTTCATCTGTTACCCTTTGTATACTTTCTAGAAAAAACTTGTGGCGAAGGGGGGCAAAAAAAAGAAGCAAGTTCTGAAGTTCACCCTTGACTGCACCCACCCCGTAGAAGATGGAATCATGGATGCTGCCAACTTCGTAAGTCGCCCTCGAGGCCACGCGGGTCAGCCACGGATTGAGGCTCTTACAAAACCCACAGCAGCTTATTTGTGGCCTTGGGCTGGTTTGCAGCTCTGCAGCCTGACTCCTGATGCAGGCGCTTGGCCGGGTTGTTTGCGTTTAAGTCTTGCCTCTTGCCTGGCGGAGAGGAGCGGCGCTCTGGCGCCGCCGTGCTGGGGTGCCGCCGCCTCCGCCCGCCCGCCCCCCCCCTTCCCAGCGCCTCCTAGAGTGTCAGAAGCGCCTCACTTGTTGCCGCGACACAGGTCAGCGTCACTGGCCGCCGCGGCCCCCTGCCCTGGTGTGTGTGGGCCGAGCCCGGGCCCGGCCTGCCTGCCCCAGCGCCGGCTGGTGTGGGGGGCCGAGGGCAGCGTGGCCTCGCTGCCCGTCCTACTCAGCGCGGGACCGCCGGTGTTCGCAAGACGGCCCGCGTGCTGCCTCGCGGTGGGAACGTGATAGGTGATGGTTTTTCTTTCTGGCCCTAATCCCCGACATTTTGCTATTTACCTGAAATCTAGGAAATTCGAACTCATCGCCTCCTTTCGACTCAGCCACTTGGTTTTGACAATTTACTCCTCTAGGCCGTGCTTGGGGAATTCAGACTAGTCTGAAACCTAAATTGACCTTTGCTCTTCGATCTCTAGAGGTCAAGTATTTCCAACGCGATTCCTTGACCAGGGCAGTACTGAAACTATGTGACCTGGTCTGTGGCCACTTACTGTACCGCACGCACAACTCGGGCCCCTGCCAGCCGTTGCCCTGCCCCGCGGGGGGCCCTTGCTGCCTGCTGCGCTTCTCTGTGGCCTGCTCCCCCCACCCGTGGTGGCGTCTTCAGTCTGTCTGTGGTCGCCCTGCCTGGCATTGTTTCCCCTGCTCATCTCTACCTTAGAGTCATTCCTTCTAGCAGTCTCCTTAGGGTAGAAAACTTGAGTCATTTATGAATTTTAAGATGCGGAAGCGAAGATTTCTGAGCTGAGTCAGAGCTCCCTGCCCCATTAGCAGTCGATGAAGTGTGGATGGGCTTACAGAGGGGTGGGGAGTTGGGGTGAAGGGGACGTCGTATCGCTGTGCAGCAAGAAGAGAACCAGAGGCCTCCCTCTTGGACAAAGCGCTGAGGCCCACGGAGATGAGTGACTAGCCCAGGACCCCACGGGTTTGCTGAGAGCCCCATCTCTGGGCTCCTTCCGTCCCAGGCCCAGGGTTCCTGGACTGGCGCGTGGGTGTTTGGGTCACTCTGGTTTTACCAGTCCTCCTGCAAGTTGGAGGCAGTTTCTTCTGACCTCACCGGCGGCAGCACGGTGTTCTCAGGCTCAGGAGGTGCTCGTGCCTTGTGAAGGTTTGGTCATGGGTTTCTTGTCTCCTCAACCTGTGGCCGAGGGGTTGAGTGGAGGCCTCCCTGGAGAGGCACGCTGCCTTGTGTGGGGCAGGCCGTGTGTTCTGTTGTCACGTTAAAAAGACTGAACATGTATCTGTTCCCCGCTCTGTCTCTGGTGAAGCCTCTCACCCTCCCGCTCATCTGGCCTGTACCCCGGTTCTTGGGTAAATAAATAATTTTTTTTTTTTTTAAATAATTTTGGAGATGTCTTCTTTTTTTTAATGTTTTTTTTTTTTTTCCAAAAGATTTATTTATTTCTACAAGCACTGGGTACAGTCAGAAGCGCGGGAGGGTGAGAGAATTCACCAGAGCCAGAGCGGGGAGCAGAGCAGGCAGAAGGACCGAAGTACACTGCTGAGGGGAGCAGCGGGCGGCAGGGAGGTCTGCGCGCCATGTGGGACCCTCGACGGCCGCCCGGGATGGAACCGGCACTGCGGAGGCTGCGGGCAGCTTCGTAGCCCAGCGCTCAACCGCTGCGCCACCGGGGAGAGGCCCAAATAAATAAATCTTTTTTTTTTTTTTTAAAAAAGAGACAATGGAGAAACCATTTGTTTGTTCAGTGTTTAGAGTGTGAAAAAGCCTTATGGGGGGCTGGGGGCCGGGACCCCGCCACCCCACTCCCCACTGACTGCTCCACATGACGCCTTCACAGGAGCAGTTTCTTCAGGAGCGCATCAAAGTGAACGGGAAGGCCGGGAATCTCGGTGGAGGGGCCGTGACCATAGAACGGAGCAAGAGCAAGATCACCGTAACTTCCGAGGTGCCTTTCTCCAAAAGGTAGGGAGAGGGAGTTACCTGCGGCCTCCAGGTGCTTTTGTTGCCCTCACCCGGCCAGGAGGTGGCTGCCTTGAGGAGTTTGCTTCGTGGTCGCCTCTGGTACTTTCTGGAACAGTGCCCAGAAAGGACTCCGTGAGCGAGCCAGCGTCACTGTGGCGGTTCCTGGGGTAGTGTGCAAAGGTTGGTTTTCCACAGGCTGTAGTATTTTAAGCCGTCAGGACGCTCAGGCTAGTTGGGGCCGTGCTCTTAAAAATGAAGGCGTTGCCGCCTCCGTCTCCCACCCCAGCGAGGGGCTGGCCTGCCCTGTGGCCCGCCCCCTCGTCTCAGTGGACTGAGGCCGCTTCTCGCCGCCTCGGCGCGTTGCAGAGCTGTGTCGAGGGTGAGATTAAAACCCCAAGTCACTCTGGAATTAGATGGGTTTATGCCCGGCCCTAGCCCAGCCCTGGCACAGTCTTAGGGGGGTTTAATCCAACTGAATCAGATAGTGGGGACGTTTGAATGTGGGTTAGGACCGCTCGCTTGCGATGAAGCCTTTGCTTTTATTTTTAACTCTGTCACTCACGAGATGACTTCCGACGTCAGGGTGGCGGCTCCTGCGCGCGCGGTCTGACTGAGCTGCGGTTCCTGTGAGGAGGGCGATGGAGCGGGGCGAGCTCACGCAGAGCGCCCCGATGCCCCACCTCGGCCTCCCAGGCCTTCCTCACACAGTGGCGAGGGCAGGCGCCCCTGCGCAGTAAATGCTCCTTTTTTGAGGATAGTCGTTTCACTTCCTTGAGGCCTTCCGGTGTTCCCGCTCTCGCGTTGCCCTGCGCCCCGGCTTCGGCCTGGGCCCGAGTCGAACACGGATGTTCAGGCCACCTGCACTTTGCGTCCCCGCCCTGAGCGCCGCGGGAGATGGAGTAATTGAGCAGAAGATACTCTTTACGTGGGACATCCAGGGTGTTGGTCTGTGCGTGGGCAGGCGTGGGTGCAGTTGGCGAGGCTGTCGGCTGTGTGGTGCCCTGTGCAGGTGGGCTCGGGGCGTCCGGTGCTGACTGCGGGCCCGTCTGGTGCCCATCTCGCCGTCTTTGGTCCTGGGGCCGTCTGAGGGGATGGAAGCCCCGGGCCCTCCCTAGAGGGGGGCTGCGTCTTGAAAGGTCGGCCTGCCCGCCCCTGGGTTTGCCCGGCATCCTGTTCCTGCTTCATGGCTTGGGAACGACGCTGGGGTAGCTGCACCTCGGCCCGGTGAGCCTCAGGTGAGCGGGCGGGATCTCCGCCTCAGCGAGGGGCGCAGGAACAGGCTGGGCTCCCGCCTGACCAAGGCGCAGACGGTGGGGACAGCGGGTGCTGGTGGGGGGCGGCCTTGGCCCCCGCGCCCGGAGTGAGTGTCACACCCGGAGAGGTGGTCCCGGCACCTGAACCGCCACAGGGGGCTGGAAGCCCTGAGGTGATGCTGGGGTCTCGGGGCTGGTGGAGGGCGCTAGGATGTGTGTGACAGCGACGGCCTGTCTTTCCCCGGTGGGCTCGAACCCACGGAGGGGCTTGCTGCGGCTCCGCAGCTCTTGGGACACTTACCGTTGGCATGTTCGGTGGCAGCTTGGCTGAAGCAGCTGGAGGTCCCCTGCAGCGGCGGGTGGATGGGCCCTGCCGGCGCCCGGGTGGAGGGAGGGGCGGCGCCTGGGGCGTGGCGGCTGCGGCGTGTTCGGAGTTCTCAAGTGTCCTTTCTCCGCAGGTATTTGAAATATCTCACCAAAAAATATTTGAAGAAGAACAATCTACGTGACTGGTTGCGCGTGGTTGCTAACAGCAAAGAGAGTTACGAATTACGTTACTTCCAGATTAACCAGGACGAAGAGGAGGAGGAAGATGAGGATTAAACTCACTTACCTGGGATATTTTGTATGAGTTCTTGAATAAAACTTGGGAACCAAAGTGGTGGTTTTCCTTGTATCTCTGCAGTGTGGTTTGACCAGGAGCTTGGAAATGTCAGGAGCCGCCTGGGCCGCGCTCCCTGGCCATCGGGCTTTTTTTCTGCCTGAAACCCAGACAGAAGGGCCGGGCCTGGAGGCGGGACCGCCGGGGCCTTGACAGCAAGCAGGTAGATGGGGTGTGGAGGCCTGCGCTTCACATCCTCGCTATTTTACTCTAAAGGGGGACAACTGTGGGGCCTCCTGACCCCCTGAGAGCCAAGCCTGACTTCTTCCAGGCCCCCTTCTCTCAGGAAGCTGGCAGCGTGGGCTGGGGGCACCTGTCTTCATGTTTTTTGGCCTCGAGCCCCCTTGATGCACGCCACTATGTACATCCCCGCCTCCTGCACAGTGCACGGTGGCCCTTTGTCCTTCCTGCGTATTCCTCTTCCCTGAGAAGAGGGTCTGGAGAGTGATTGTAAAGGCCCCAGGTTTTCTGTGAAGTAAAAGCGTACAAAAATGAATTTGTAAGTAATGGTCGTTTCTGTCTTCGCAACAACCTGTCACTTTGTCGCCCAGCAGGGGGAGCTGGAGGTGAGGACATGGGTGCCTTCCCCAGGGTTGTGGTGGGGCGTGGCTGCCTCCTGGTACCGCGAAGCTTGGGAGGTTGGAGGCAGTTTCCAGAAGCCTCCAGAAAAGTTGAGATGCCCAGGGGTAGTCACTGACCTGCCAACTTAATGTCTAAAGTCACTACAAGCGTTCATCAGGGAGCACCCAACACAATGGCTTTCCTGCATGGTGTCTGTCGGGGTGAAGGCTGGTTCATCTTGGGGTTTTGTGGCTTTGTGCAGGGGCTGGCAGGCCACATAGGGTGATTAGCAGGTTGTCAGGGTGTAATTGTGGCTGGCAGAAAAAGCAAGATTTATGTATGCATACAAGAACTGGGGTACAGGCCAGAGGTGTGGGGGTGAGAGGACTCCCCAGAGAAAGTGGGGAGTAGAACAGGCAGAGTGGCTGAAATACACAGCCGAGGGGAGCAGCGGGGAGATAGGAGGGGTCTGTGCCACGTGGGTCAGCTCCCTGACCAGGGATCGAACTGGAGTGGCTGCGGACAGCTGCACCGTGCAAGAGTACTTGAGCGACTCTGGCCCTGATGCCTCCTGTTCCCTTTGAAATTCAGCGCCGCCTAGTGTGAGTGTCAGCAGCCATGTTTTCAAAGCGCCTGCCTGCAGCTCACCCCACACCTGAGGTTCGGATGTTCTGCCCATTAATGAATGTTTGGGTCCTGCCTGGGCTCCCGCTGAACACTGGGTGCTCCTAGGATGGAACTGAAACGTGTCTCAGCTCTGCAATTTCATCTGTGGTATAAGCTCTAGCATTTTCTATTTCTATGCAAATTCCTCTGAGCTGACTTGCCTGCTGCCTCTGCCCTAACTTGGGGGGGCACCGGGGGGAGGGCTTTCTGTCGCACTCGCCTGCTGCGTCTTGGGGCTGTCCCTTCCTCTGAGAGTAACTTTTTTCTTCGCAGATGCGCCCATGTAGTCATTCTTTGGCTGTAAGAAATGAACCCCAGGTTGATGTTAATTTTTTAAATTTAAACTCCCAAATGCAGCTTGTAATAAACTGGAACGCACTGGTTTTTCTGTGCCTTTCTGAACTTTGCAATTGGCTTTTGACCACATTTTACGTTAGAGTGGCTGACAGGTGGCTGCCGTGCTGGCGCCAGCCGGGGCTCTGAGGGTTGGCCTGCTAATATGCTCGGCAACGTGACTTGTCTTCGTCCTCGCGGGTCAATTGCTGGACCGATGACCCTGGTCTTGAAGCGTGAGAAGAAAACGTGTCACCTCTGTCCTCCCTCCATCCTGCCCTTGCGTCTGGGATGTTGGACGTGACTGGCCCTGGGCTCTGCGGGTACAGCCTGCAGCTCCAGCACTGGGGGCTTCTCCCCGGGGGGGCTTGTGGGAACCCGGATTCTGGTCCCCTGCCCTGTGGTACCAGCGGGGCCGCAGCCACATCGTCCAGCTGTTTCCTTAACAGACTGGGTCTCGGAGGTTGAGACGCAAGTGCACCGAGGAAGTGATGTGGGCATTTCTGGACTGGCTACCGGCACCACCCCTCCCTGGACCGGCAGCACCTCGTGTCTCAAGCTGCCCACCTCCTGTGACCTCACGGGTGACGGTGCTTTTCTGAGGACTCATTCCCCCTACTTCTGGAGGAAGAGGGCCCAGCACCGGCATGCCATGCTTAGGGGAGACGGGCGGAGTAGGGGTACATTTGATAAACAGCCCATCTCTTGAGACAGTTGGTCAAGATCCCAATGGTCTGGGGTATTTAAGACCTCAGCCTTTTCAGGGGGTGCTGGGCTTCCTGGAGGGGAGCAGGACCCTCTGACAGCCTCGGAGCCTGGAAGCTGGGCTTCCCTCCCCCTGCTGGGCCCTTTGGGGGGGATACCCCCTAGCCAGGCTGGATCCTGTGAGGGGCACACACCTAGCACAAGGGGCCCTAAAAGGCAAAGGGAGATTTGGCAGAATCCAGGGGACGGGGCTCCCCTCGGGTGACCTCCACGCGGGGGCTGGCTGGGTCAGCCATTTCCTGAGAGCCTGGGCGCAGCTGAGTCTCAGGAAAGGGCCTTGGGGTGGGAAGCTCCGGGGGGCGCCTCTCCTGGGAGGAGCAGAAGGTGGGGAAAGGGTCTGACCTGGGGGAGCCGGGCTGTCACCCCAGCAGGGAGGTGGTGCCGAAGCACCAGGTGGGGGGGCTGCCTTTTCACTGATGCACGATGGTGCTTCTCTCTGGAAATGAAAAATCAAGACTCAGTAGTTCTTTTTTTCTCTTTGCGAAGATTTGAGAATCCAGTTTTTTTTTTTTTTTTTAAAGGCTATTTTGGGCCAAGCTACAAGTCTGCTGAGCGGTGCTGACCAGCTCATGAGCCAGCACTGAGGGCCGGGCCCAGCGTCTGCCTTTCAGGGGAGCCCCCACCCCATCCACAGCAACCCGCAGCCGTTTGGGTTCAGGTGGGGCCAGACCTTGAGAAAGGGCTTCAAGTACCATGGAGAAGGGGATGCTGACCCCCACTGCAGACGACTGCAGCCTGGGAGCACGCCCACTTCAGAGGCAGCCCCGGTGGGGTTGTGCCCTGAGTGACCTGCTGTCACCCACTTCACTCCAGAAGCTCCGGGGCCAGGATGTGGGCTCAGGCAGGACCGAGGGGAGCCTCCAGGAGGAGCTCGGAGAGGGCGCAGGGGACCCACGGAAGACAGCACCCGCTGGCCGAGGCACCTCTGTCCTTGGAAAAACAGTTTTTCCCGGGCGTTTCCACGACCCATGTATCAAAAAGCCTTTTGATTGTGAACCGTCACTGGGGTGATTCCCAGCTCCGTGATGGGGAGCCCTGGTCTTGCCTCCCCGACGGCCTCTAAGATGGGCTCGTGCCCAGCCCGCGGAGATCCCTGGGCCTTCACCAGGGCTGGCTTTTTAACCTCAGGCGTTTGGGCTGTTATTAAAATCCCATGTACTACTTTAACAAGAAGAGCCGTCCTTGGAGTTTTATGGGGGATTTCTAGTCAACAGTCCATTTGTTTCTGTTTTGTTTTGCTTTGATCGTTAAGGAGCATGACCTCGCTGCCGCCATGGGCGAGACCGGGATGGGGCCACGACGAGCGGCTCCACTCTAATTTGTTGCCAAATTAAGCAGTTGGAACCGCTCTGTCTTGAATGATGTCTTGACTCTCTCAGCCTTGCCTTGGGAACCCGAGCCAAGGTTAATGGTGTGTGTGGTGGGGGGAGGCGCGTCTGGTGCCGGGAAAGCTCTGTCGTGGGCCAGGGAACCTTGGCAAGTGTCCTGACCTCATCCACCCCCGGGCGGGGCGGGGGAGGCGGCTGGGGGGCCGGGGGGATGTGTTCGATGGCACTTGGGCGGTTGGCATTCTGGGAGATCTGGAAAGAGCAAGGCAGCCTTGCCGGGGAAACTGCAGGTCTGCCGAGGCCGGAGTTCGGGTCCCCCTCGGCGGCGGACTCAACCCCGTGACGCACGACCTCAGGGCCCTGAGGCCTGTCCTTTCTTGGCCTGCCCCCTGCCGCCTTCCCTGCTCTGCCTTCCCCGCGCCCCTCGGCTGCTCCAGCTGCTCTCCAGCAGGTTTAAAATCATCTTGGAGCCTGTCCTATAACAATTCCAGCTGCCTGCACTTTGATCCTGAGGCCCGGCAGGCCTGCTCCTGCCAGGGATGAATGAAGAGGAGCTTCTGTTTGGGGGTGCTGGCCCCTGGGGAGGAGGGTGGCACAGTGTCTACTCACCTTTGCTGGCCCATGACGACCTCCCAGGCCACCCGCTGCCTCCGACTCACGGAGGCTTGTTGTGTTCTCCCTAGGGGGGCTTGGGGACACAGCAGTCCCAGCAGCGCCAGGTCCCCAAAGGCCCCAGGAGGCGGACAGCCTCCTGGAGTGCCCGGGGATGGGCGGGTGCTCAGCTGAGGCCGGAGGGGCTGGTGCTGGAGAGGAGACCCCCCCCCCCCCCCCCACCAGGCAGGTCCCACCACTTAGGCCTCCAGGAGGCTCCCTGACCTGGCCCGAGGCAGCTGGTGAGCAAGCCCCCCTTTCTGGTCTCCCCAGTTTGGAGAGCCGGTCACCCTGCCCTCCGTGGACACTTGCTTTCCTGCAGCAGCTTTAAGGCTTGCTCATTCCAAATTCCCTTCTCGCTCCCAGGCTTCTGCCTCCATCTTCACCTTTAACAGGGCGGGTGGAGCTGCCCCTCCTGCTCCGGCGGGGTGTCCTTCCAGGCCAGGCTCCGGGCACGGAGGCCACAGCCCGCATCGCCCCCAGGAGTCCGGCGCCGGGCTGGACTCCCGGGAGCCCCCTTGAAGAGGACGGGTGGCCTGGGGTGGGTGCGGAGGGGCGGGAGGACGCAGCCCGCGCGCATTTCTGGAATAAGCAGAGCCACGTCTCCAGAGCGGCCCTTCCCCGGGCGAGGGGCCCGTCTCCTCCAAAGGCGGTGGGAGCACAAGGCCGGGGGGCGCGGGCGCCGCACGTGGAGCTCGCCGCCGGCGCCGGGGCCCTGGCCTCCGTGCCCTTGGGGCCCCCGGGACCGAGCGTCCTTTCGGGCGCGCGCGGCGGCCGCGGTCTCCCCGCCCGCCCCGGGGCGGGGGCTCGAGTCCCGGCTGCCCGCCCTGCCGTCGGGTCCCCGGGCGCACGGGCGCCGGGACGGCTCCCCCGGCTGGGGCGCCCCGCCCCGCCCTCCACCCGGCGACCCAGGACTAGTCGCCCCAACTTGTTCTCGGCTGTTAACTAGTCGTGCTGCCGGAACGATGGGATGGGGTTGCCACAGCAACCAGACTGGACGTCACAATCCGGGCATGTGTGCCGCCCCCCCGCCGCGCGCCGTGCCGCGGGCGCTGGCGCCGCCACCCTCGGCCGCTGCGGGGCTCGGCTGCGGGCGCGGTGGGCGGAGCGGCCCGGGCGGTGCGGGCTCGGGGCGCAGGTGGCCGCGAGGAAGGGGGTCGAGACGGGGGGGCGGAGGTTTGGGGGGGCGGGGGGCAGGCGGCCGCCATCTTCTCGCCGAGGCCGCCTCGCCCGCCGTGCGCGCCCGGCCGGCAGCGCACGGGTTAAGGCTGGCACCGCGCCCGGCGGGAGGGGGGCGCCCACCTCCCCTCCCCCCGCGCCGGGCATGCGGGGCCCGCCGGGCACCGAGGAGGAGCTGCCGCGGCTGTTCGCCGACGCGATGGAGAACGAGGACGAGATGTCAGGTGCGCGCGGCCCGGCTCGGCCCGGCCGGCTGCGGGGCTGCGGGTCCCGCCGGGCCCGGGGCGGACGCGCCGGCGGCGCGCGGGGGGCGGGGGGCGGCCGGGGCCGCGGGGCCGGGCGGGCTCGGGGCGCGGCGCGCGGGCGGCCGGGTGGGGTGTGCCCGGGGCCGGCCCGGCGCGGGCGGAGGTCCGGGGGGCGCGCGGGCGCCCCGGGCGGGGAGGGGGCGCGGCGCCCCGGGGTCAGCCCGCGCGTCCTTGAAGGGGCGGGAATCCGCGGGCTGCCGGCGCCCCGCGCTCCCGCCCCGCGCCGCGCCTCTGGCCCCGGGGGCGGGCGGGACCGGCCCTTGGCGGCCCCGGGCGCGCTGGGTGTGGCCGGAGCCGCGAGCCCCGCCGAGCCGAGACCGGCCGGCGCTCGGGCGGGGGCGGCTTCCCGGGGGCGCGGGCGGGCGGGCGGGCGGGCTCGGGCGGGGCGCGCGCTGGGACCCGGACTCCGCGCCCCTTCCCGGCGCTGCGCCCCCGGCCGCCCGGCGCTGCGCACGCTGCTCTCCAGCACTTTGCCGGCGGCCGGCGCGGTCCTGGCGCGCGTCCAGTTCGGGATCGCGGCGGCAGCGCGTCCCAGACCCGCCCGGCCCCGCCGGACACGACCGCCGCCCCTGCCCTGCCCTGCCCTGCCCTGCCCTGCCCTGCCCTGCCCTGCCGCGCGCTCCGAGCCCAGCGCGCGGGGTTCGTGCCCCGCGCCGCGCGCGCGTCATCCCGTAGTTAATTGCTCTCCTTTTGCTTGGGACGGTCCCCTCCTGGCGCGGCTGGGCCTCACCCTGCCCAGCGCACCCCCCTTCCGTCTGGGGGACTCAATTCTCAGCTTCCCTGCAGCAAGGGTAGGGTACTTCTGGGCTTCTTAGGGACTTGTGGGGGGCCCCCGGGGGGCCCTCCCTGGCCCAGGGATGTGCTGTCTGACCCCAGGAATGCTTCCCCAGGGGGGAGAATAGTCCACAAATTGGCACCCCAACTCCTGTTTTCAGGAGAGGAGAAGGGGGTGGTCCTAGCTGGCAGCAGCAGCTCTCCAGTCTGGGGGATGCCTACCAGATGGCGGGGCCTGGAGGGGTGGGGGGCACCTCTCCCCACTTGTTTGCTGGCTTCCCTCCTGTGACAGGGGCTCTGCAGCACGCGGCCCACCTGCCTCTCAGACAGTCTGGCCAAGTGTGCAAAGAGCCTGCTGGGGTGAGGGCCCCCCAGGGCCAGGTTGCTTGGACAGTAGTTGCCTGGTCCCACCCAATTCCTGGGGCGCAGGCCTGCTGCTTGGGTGGGACTCAGGCCCAGCACGGGCATGGAGGCCCAGGGCTGTTTTCCACCCAGGAGGCTGCTCCTCCCGAAGCCAGAGGGAGTGGCTCCCCGCGGGGCTGGGGGGGCCCCTCCGTGGCCCTGGGGTGGCAGCGAACTGTGGAAGGTGCTTCAGCAGACATGTTTCTGGGACTTCGCTGACCCCGTGGGCCTCCCATCTCCCATTCCCAAGTGCCCGACTCTCCTCGGCTGGTCGGTGTGAATCATGGAGGGGGCAGTGTGTGTGTGTGCCTGTGTATTTGCATGCGGGCAAAGCCCCAGTTCGAATCCACGCCCATCTGCCCCCAGCCCTGTCCACACTGCAGGCTCGTGGTCACCACCCTGAGTGGGCTTCCGTCACAGCGGCCTGCCCCCACCTCCTTTCCCTCTTGCACGAACTGCTCCCGGGCGGGGCGGGGCGGGGCGGGGTGGGGGGTTCTCCCCAGGGCCTCTAGGAGCCCCTCAAATTCCCACTTTGGCCCCTCTGGCCTAGGGTGTCAGCCCCATCCAGCAGCAAGACCAGCCGCGCAGCCCGCAGGCTGTGTCCTCAGCCTCCCCACCCCTCGGTCCCCCCACCCACCTGTCCAAGTGCGAGCCCTGACTGGTCCCCTCCTGACCAGTCCCCTGTGATGCCCTCACTCCCCAGCAAATCAGATCCAGGTCCTGGTGGCTTGGATGGATGGCAAAGCCCTGTTTTGCCCCCTGACCGCCCCCCCCTTGCTCACACTCTCCGCACTGGCCACCTCGGTGCTTCTGGGACATCCCAGACTTGTCCTGCCCTTGAGCCCTGGCTGCGACCTCTGCCTGAGCAGCGGCGGCTTCCTGTCCTTAGGTCTCGGCTCCAATGTCACCAGGAGGAGACTCCTCCTGGCCTCCTGGCTCAAGGGTGGCCCCACCCCATCTTCATGCTTTATTTTCTGGGCAGCCGCCTCCTCCAGACGGGTAGGCCAGTTACGTGTCTGTGAGCACGAGGGGGCCCAGGGTGATTCCTCTGGCCCGGCAGCAGGCACCTGGTGCCCAAGAGATGGTTGTGGCCCGAGGCCTGAGGCTGGGAAACTGCCTCTGCCTCCATTGTTTGTCACCCGGAGCTGGCCCGTGCCCCCTGCACTGGCATGGCAGCCCCCCAGGGACCGGGTGGACTAGAGCGTTCCAAGCCCCGCCGTCTGCAGGAGGAGCTGTCACCCCCATCTGAAGCAGCGGTTGAGGGGTTACTGGTCAAATTTACTATCTTTTCATTTTGCTCTTTGCTCGGCTCCCGCAAGGGCTGCTCTCAACAGTGGGATCCCGGTTTCCCAGCACCCTCTGGGGTTGAGGCAGGCAGGTGGGCCTGCTTGCTGGGAGGGGGTTGGCCCCGGGTGCCGAGCTCTGCAGGAGGTTGGGAGGGTCCGAGAGACAGGTGGGTCCTTACTCTGCCACTTGTTAGTCGGCTGACCTTGGTCTGCCAACCCAGCCCCTGTGCCTCAGTGCCCCCCAGTGGAATGGGGTGTAGCACTCGCTACCTCATAGAGGGTTATTATGAGGACTGCTGAGCTGGTGCCCGTGGAACATTTAGGTCACAGTGCCCAGCACGCAACAAGTGCCCCATAAACCGTGCCCGTGGTAATCAGTGCCGTCCGAGGGCGCTGACCTGCCTCCCCGAGAAAATGCTTCCGAGACTTGCACCCTCGTCCAGTAAGCTGGGGCCGTGGAACCTGGCCTGGAGAGGCCAGGAGTGAAACCCACGTAGGGCTGGAGGGAGGTGGGAGAGGGGCTGGACACCCCGGCTTCTTCTCAGAAGAGGGGGGGCTGAGCCGCTGAAGGCCGGCACTAGGCCACCAGGTCCCCTTCCTGGTAGACCTGGGCTCCCTCAGCCGCACACGGCCGGGGGGGTGGGCAGCCCAGGCTGTGAGCCCAGCCGCTCTCCTGTCCCGAAGACCCCTGACCAGCCCGTGGCCCCCAAGCCCCGGGGCTGCCCCAGCCGTGTGGGCATCTTAGACTTCCTTGGGCCCAGGGGCCAGTGATGGCTGTGGGGACTTGTAGTTTATCTCCCCCTTGGGGAAGTGGGGGTCTTGGGGTGCCCCATGGAGCCTGGTTGTACTTAACACAGCCAGTGTGGCCAGCACACCTCACCCGGTGACTTGGCCTGTGAGAAACTTGCCTCACGCCACGCTGACCGGGGCTAAGATCCAGGTATTGTTTTATCAGTTTATTTTTTAAAAAATTAATTTATTCATGCATAAAAAGGTGGGGTACAGGCCAGAGGTGCGGGGGGGTGAGAGGAGTCTCCAGAGACAGAGTGGGGGGCAGGACAGGCGGATCCACTGAAATCCACGGCTGAGGGCAGCAGCGGGCGAGGCAGGAGAGGCCTGCTGCGCCCTGTGGGCCGCTCCCTGGCAGCGGCTGCGGACAGCTCCATAGTGCTGCGCCCTGTCATGGGCTGGAGAGGCAGAAAGCGGAGTGGAAGGTGCCCAGGTAGTGGGCGGAGCTGGGGAGGCTCCGACGGTGAGGATGTGGGTGGGCAGGACGGGAGACAGGAGGTTTCACCCCTGCGCCCCCAGGGAGGCCCTATCGGTTCACTGAATCACCTGCCCGCCTGCTCATCCTCCCGCCCGGGCTTCTACCCCTGCACCCACCTGCTACTCACCACCTACCCCCAGTGCACCCACACGTTCTCCCAGCCAGCTCTCCTCCCCCCCTCCCCCATCCATTCTACCTGGTCTCCTCCCTCCCTCCCCCCTCCCTCTACCATCATCCGTCCTACCTGGTCCTCAGCCATCCAGCCGCCATC